TATGTAAAATCTCTGTGTTTCCCAAGGATCCCATTAAGCAAATGGTGGAATGGCTGAACTTGCGTTTATTTGTCCTAGAGTGTTATCAGTAAATCTCTGCACAAAGATGCCTGATATGATAGAATCAGGGAGGGGACTCCATAGTTTATCATGACAACTCTCGGGATATAGTTTGCACAGCCATGCTACTCTGAGCATGTAGCCATGGTGCTGCTGCACAAATAGCATACGTGAAATTACCCATAGCAGATCCAGACAGGTGGAGCTGGGGAGGAGGTGGAAGGTTTCACTGCAGGACCAGGGGTGCGTTCAACTTCACTTTAGACATACACTCACAAACTTCCCTTCTCCACCTCCATTGAAGTGCATTCTACTTCGTCCGGTGGACAAGGGAAGTTTATATGTACAGACACTCAACCCCTAGATTTTAACTGAGGGAGCGAATCAACAAATAAGTATACTTCAGGAGCTCCATATACCATGATGCAACACGATTGTGGCGATATGGCAGATGACGTTTAATTTATCCCACCACACACTTAAATAATAATAATAATTACAAAATTAATTATTTTGAGATATAAATGCATAATAATTGTGGCTACCTTAAGCTGACTGTTTGTTAAACAAGCTGTGCTTCCATCCAAAGTTGCGAATTTAACTTGTACGCAAAATTGGAATGTCGCATAATGCAAATAAGCACCGTTTCCATCTGACGAGTCAAAGACAATAAAATCGTCACTTCCTGATAAACTGGCACTAAATATCACTAAGAAAAGTGGGAGAAGCCACAGAATATAATAATTTTCATATTTTATAAATTACTTGCACCTCAGAGCGAGCAGACGAAACACAATAAATGCAGTCATTGCTTTCGAAGGTGGATGCCTGCTGTTTGGGAATGCAGTTGTGTAAGACAGTTCTGGGAGGTAATTATACAAAAATACTTTGATGACAGACTTTGCTCGGGCATTTCAGAATGACCATAACAACATTTCAGATGCTGTGCAACAAGATCCATCCGCTGGTTAGTCAGGTTATGCCCTCCCATAGCGCACATAACTTTTTTGATGTGCATGGAGGAATTTATTCGGAAAATGTGTTTCCATCTCCCATTATTCGCATGAATCCTTTTTTGCACGAGTCAAAAACCACCTCAAGCGAGCGTACAAACTTTTTTGTGAATTAAGTTTTTATTTTTTTCAAAATTTGCCATCTCCAACACTCGTTTCTGATGTGATACTTAATTCAAGCATTAAAGCAGGGTGATGGAATCATAGATAATGTCATTGATTATTGCAGGGGTTATCACTAGGTGTTTTATGACTACAGGGGAAATTCCCTTTCAAGGTTGTTTTTGTGAATGACATTTGATAGTAATTTGTTTAGAATTTTTTAAAATCTTATTTTATTCTTGCCTCCCACACTCTTTTTCTGTCATGGTGTTTGTGCACATTTCTGGTTGAGATGGGGGGGAAAAAAAGCTCTCACACATCTGCTGCCCTCTGGGCTTTCACACTGTGAGATTATTCCAGCTACTAAGCAGCTGTTCTATATTTTAACCTTTAGCGGTGATGGAATCATAATTAATGTCATTGATTATTGCAGGGGTTATCACTAGGTGTTTTATGACTACAGGGGAAATTCCCTTTCAAGGTTGTTTTTGTGAATGACATTTGATAGTAATTTGTTTAGAATTTTTTTAAATCTTATTTTATTCTTGCCTCCCACACTCTTTTTCTGTCATGGTGTTTGTGCACATTTCTGGTTGAGATGGGGGGGGAAAAAAGCTCTCACACATCTGCTGCCCTCTGGGCTTTCACACTGTGAGATTATTCCAGCTACTAAGCAGCTGTTCTATATTTTAACCTTTAGCTGATGATCCTGTGAGATTTCATTCCAAATCACTCAGCTATTTACATCTTGATGAGCAGAGCCTCGTACGAAATACCTCCCGGGTCAAAATAGTTGACATGCTTGTTAATGTCACAACTGCCACTAATAAACAGCATGCGAGTTGAAGGCTAGTCAGGTTGCCAGGGTAACTATTAAACTTTGCACTTGCTGAGTGCAGAAGAGTTGTGTACAGATATATCTTCATCAAGAGAGAATGTGTAAACTAGCTGCTGTTTGTATATCATACACAGCAATCATGTATATATTTGCATGCAATGCTTGTATATGGAGTGATTTATGTGTTTAGATGTCTCTTCATTAGACTTTTACACTCAGTAACCCCTCAGTTCTGAAAAATGAAGTGAGTGAAGTGAAAGTGACATGTGGCCAAGTATGGTGACCCATACTTGGAATTAGTGCTCTGCATTTATCCCATCCAAAGTGCACACACACAGCAGTGAACATACACACACCGTGAACACACACCCGGAGCAGTGGGCAGCCTTTTTTTTGTTGCGGTGCCTGGGGAGCAGTTGGGGCTTCAATACCACACCTTGCTCAAGGGCACCTCAGTCGTGGTATTGAAGGTGGGAGAGAGCGCTGTACATTAACTCCCCCCACCTACAATCCCTGCCGGTACAAGACTCGAACCCACAACCTTTGGGTTACGAGTCCGACTCTCTAACCATTAGGCCACGACTTCCCCGTGAATTAGCTCAGTTGTGAGTGGTTTTAAGGCTGTATAGGAAAAAAAAGTTTTTTTTCCTGCTCAGAGCAAATATATTTCAGCTATATCACACAAGTAGATAATCACAGTCCTGCTGAAATTCAGACTGGCAGCACATCCATGAACGCAGGATCGGCAAAGGACCTAGACGGGAATCGAACTCGGGTCGCTGCAAGCACAGTTGCGCTATATGTCGGCACACTAACCACAAGGCTAAATGCCGGCACAAAACAAATTGGATAAACTAATTTGAAACTAATTGGTTAAATGATTCAATGACTCACTTTTGCCAAGTACTGTTGAAATGTCTTAACATGCAGAGAGACTATTATGACCCCACTCATATACTTTTATTTGCTTCAAAACGTGAGAAAGAGATGTTGGTGCAATGTATGGAGGATTCTGTTGGCAAAATCACAAGTTGAGTACAGCTGTCAGTGTCAGGTTTACAGGGATTACAGTCATAGACATGTGGATTCTCTGCCTGTTAGTCACACAGGCATGGAACTCTGGAACATTGTCATTCCCAGGTTTTTTTATTCCCATGTATTATGGTTACTAAAGACTATTTTAGTCTGTCTGACTGATCAACTGGTTGTTGATGGAGTTATATAACCTGGAGAAACAAAATGAATGAAATAAAAAAATATGAAAGTATATACACACAAGTGAAGACCAACAAACCAGAAGAAGTGTTGTGGTCTGTTCACTGCAGCATCTGCTATCATTAAAGACACCACTGGGACTGCTTGTCAAAATTGCTACACATTCAGTTTTCAAGAAACATGTTAAGCAGCCACACAAATTTACGTCATATCAATGAAAGACTATCTTTGACTATTCAGATCTGTATGCTTGAATGCAATTAATAGTTATCTATTTAAAAATGCTGACTGGGATCTTTGTACCTATGTAGAGATTAGAGGGATAGTTGACCCAAAAATGTATAATTTCCTCACCCTGAAGTTGTTCCAAACCTGCCTTCTGTTGAACACAAAATAAGATATTTTGAAGAATGTTTTTAACCAAACAGTTGCTGGTTGCCAACATTTTTCAAAATATCTTCTTTTACATTCAACAGAAATTCATACAGGGTTGGAACAACTTAAAAATGAGGAAATTATGACAAAAAATATTTTTTTAGGTGGACTATCCCTTTAAATGGTTGTGAATCAGAGGTTGGCTATGTTCATCGAGGAGCATAAAGATGTGGTACACTTGCTAAAGACATTTCTCTGCAAGCTGAAACTTGCCATTTGAGGCTCTGGGGCACTTAAACAATCATCATGCTCTGGTAAAGTGCTTAGTAGAGTTAGCATTGCTTTCTTTTTTTTAATCAAAGGACCTAGAGACAAGAGACATAACAACGCCTGGGTCTGTGGTTTGTATGTGATGATCCATTGCAGTTGATAGCAGTTATTTTAGGGACTGTTTCCATGGTCATGGTTGGGGTCTGCAGGAGAGCTCAATATAACTACAGCCACTTGTTGAGCTGTGGCTTGTCATTGTTGTCATATTTCTAAACATCTTCATTGACTAGAAAACAGTGACAGATCAATGAATATTTCACAAGAATGATCTGATGCCTGAAAACTTTAATAACAGAATCCAATCCAATGACTGTGCATTTTTAATTTCGGTCACATCACATTTCAATAATTTCCAATAATTTGCATCATGTCTGCCTTTTGTCATCCACTACATGAGGATTGTAACAGCAGAGCAGTTTACTTCCATCACTAACAGACAGTATATTGATCAAATATCTTGTTGCTTCACTTATAGAGTTATATCCCTTACCAAAAAGTAGTATACTTCAAGTTTTCTAAGTGTAAGTCAAGTATACTTAAATGTCATTTTAAGTATATTTCTGAGAAGTACATAAAGCCCATTTCTGAGAAGTACATAAAAAGTAGACTAAAAGTATACTTTCCTATTTTTAGTTTAAAAGAAGTATACTAATAGCACACTTGAATAAACTTCTTTTTCGTAAGGGATATCACATATTGAGCACAATAACACCTTAACATATTCTGTTCTAAAAGCCAAACTGTGTCAGCATTGCCAAAAAAGACAATCTGACTTCCACAAGACGAGTCTCAACAGACTGAGCCTTGAAAATTACCTATAGAAAATCCATAAAAAAAGTTAATCCCTCTGGAAGTTGTTTTCTAATTCATACTCAGATGGCATGCACATCTTTCAGCTTATTTAAACTTTCTGTAATTTAAGGCTCACAATACAGGGACGATTTAGTACATGCACGAACTACAGCTACTGGAGCATTTACAATCTGGATTGGGCAACATTCCGTTTAAGAGGGGCGTGTTTACTAGTTTTTCATCGGAATGTAGGCACACACTGGGCTGAGCTTCAGGTGAACGCGGCGGCACGCAATGCTGCGGCTCTCATTCACATCAGTACAAACTCAGGCTTAGTTTATTTGCACACGCCGGATCATCACAGACGCTGCTTTTTGACAGGTAACTCACTACTACTTAATTATGCGTGCTGCGTTTATATAGCTATGTTTTGTTTGTGATCGGAAATAAGTTTTACTCTCACAGAGGATGCTCATCAGCCTATAACGAATTGGGCTACTGTAAAAATATTTAATTATGATGTAAGCTACATCTTTTTTTCCCGATCTTTTTAATTTGCCACAATAATTTCAGTCATTTCTAATCAGAGTTTCAACTTGATTTATTAACTTGAGTAATTCAATTCAAAGTGGTTGGAAATATTCAATAACTGATCACTGCGCTGTCACTTTGATTTTACTGAAAAAAGACAGCATTTAAATGTGATTTAACTTAACGATAGTATATTATGTTAAGATAGGGTAGCCTATAGAAATGTTTTATTATTTTTATTACTATTATTATTATCATCATCAAGAAAATAGCCTATGCTGTTGAGTTTATGAACGTAATGACGCATAACGTTTGTGCGCAATATTATATCTCTTCTCAGATGATGTGAATCTGAAACTGAATGTGAAATCTACAGGAGGACCAAGTGTTCTGACCGAAGAACCGCTATTTTCTCTCAAGGCAAACGGACGTTGTTTGTGACTGAGAGGCTCAGGTAAAGTGCACAGAATCCCACCTGACGACAGAAGATCTGAAGGCTTATAACCAGACCTTCTCCTTGTGAGATCGGACGCTGGACACTGATATGAAACTGAAAGTGATTCAGTTTGCCCTAAGAAACAGCACCGGCTTGAAAAAGTGAGGAGGACTTTAAATAATGCAAATAAGCGGAGAGGATGTGAAGTAGCCTATATTTATTTTCAGTGATTCATTTTTATTCAGGATTATGTAGGATTCATTCAGGTTATCCTCTTTGGGCTCTGCGTGTGAGAAAACTTCAGAAAAAGTCCCAGCAGAAGAAACACTTGTGAAACATGGATGCAATTAGGTTTCCCGACTTTTTTGATGATAAAAACCATTGGGATCACACATCTCGTGGTCTTTACTTTATCAGATGAGTCCAGTTTCAGATCTCAAGAAGTTATTTTGTGACACCTGACGAAGACCTGAAATGTCAAAGAGGTATGTGGATCATGCATTTCCTCTGCTGTGTGTGGAAACACATTGATGATTTTATTGAATTGCTGAAGGGAAGATGGAAAAGAACAAATAAAACAACCTGGAGTAGACTCGAGTTCTCTTATTAGTTAAGGCTATGACGTAATGATTAAAAAATACAGTAAAAATTCACCTCTTCTATGACGAACATGTTTTCATCTCTAAATTAAAATGATTATTATTATTTGATGCTTACCTTTTAAATTCAGTTAAAAAGCCCCAACACACAGGAAGCCATTTTTGTCATGTGACAGGAAAACATGTGACCCTTTGAAAACGATATATTTCAAATGTTTTTCATTTTTGTAATCTCAGACGTCCTTGTTTGTTATTGACCCATATGCTTTATTTGTTGCAACTGAATTATACAAAGCCAACTTTTATTTCAGTCACAGATACTTTGTAATTTTTATAATTTGTTCCACATTTTTATTATTTGTTTCTCTGTACTCTAAAAAATGCTGGGTTAAATACAACCCAACGCTGGGTAAAATATGGGCAAACCCAGCGATTGGGTTGTTTTGACCCAGCGGTTGGGTTACTGCCCAGAAGGTTGGGTTAAAAATTTAACCCAACTGTTGGTTGAAAACAACCCAATCGCTGGGTTTGTCCATATTTAACCCAGCATTTTTTTAGAGTGTGCAAACTCACTATTGATTGCATTTGAATGCTTTTATAATATTTTCAACTATTATAATAGCTTTTCAGTACTGGTGATTGCATATCTGTGACATCATTTTTTGTATTGTTGGTGACTTGATGTACTTTTTTTTTTTTGGTAGTGTTAGTAAAATTCTTGTCTACACTCTAAAAAATGCTGGGTTGTTTCAACCCAACTTTGGGTCAAATATGGACTAACCCAACTTTTGGGTTAAAAATTTAATGTAAAAATGTAACCCAACGGTTGGGTTAGTCCATATTTGACCAAAAGTTGGGTTGAAATAACCCAGCATTTGTTAGAGTGTATGGATGAAAATTTTTCTAAAACTGTTTTAAAATGGTCCCACATCCAGGAAACAGCTGTTCTAATCTAATCTAATCTTTAAGAGGAGAACAGTTTACTGTTCACATAAACTTGTGGTGCTTCGGCATGACCCATAAACAAATTTAAGACTCCAGTTAAGTTCAGAGTTAGCACTTTGTGGTTCGTCTGCCAGAAACCTAATGGTTGCAGACCCATTTAAGGTTTATTTCATGTGGCTTTAACTGTAAAAACATATAGCCTATATTTAGAATTTAAAGTATTATTGATGTTAAAGTCATATTGTTTTTGTTTTTTTATCACATTGTCATGAGAGGCACAAGTTTATGTTCTTACCTGAAGGCTATAGCAGTCAAAACCATCCAAATGAACATCATTATTGCCTTTTAACTATAGACCTCTTGACCTTTGACCTTGACAATAAATTAAGCTTTAATATGCTAAACTGTTGAGTTCAGGTTGTACTGTAATTATTATGCATTACTTACTGTCTGTATCTCTTTTGATCCTGTTTATTCACAATGATTAGAGATGCACATGGAATCAAAGGAAGATGTATTTCATCATATTACTCTTCTGAATCAGTTCTTCATGGGAGTGTATTGTTTATAATTGACCAGTGTCCACTCTGGGTTGCTATTAAAATACGCCTCTTAGCCCATAAGCACATGTCCACAGACGATTAGGAAGAGGAATAATGTTTGTACACAAATAATATGATGGAGAAAGGAATATTGTAGCGTGTTTACATGAGTTTTCCCCATTAAACTTCTCAAATTTCAAATGCATAGGCATTGCAACAATATAAAAGAAGACGGTTGGGCTTTAGCGAAGCTGTAAAGAGTTTCTGAGAATCTGCTCCTTTGATGAGTCAGTCGTTGTGTGGTCTCTTAGTATTCTGACCTCACTGGTGGGAGTCAGACTCATACTCTAAAAATGCATGTAAACATGTTTTCTCAGTAGCAGTGATTTCTCAATGTATAGGACACACTATTGCTATTCGTTGTCATTAATCAAGAGTCTTTGATGTAAAGCGACAACACGTATACAATGAGCCCTGAAGTCCGAGCTCCATTTTAAAGTCAAATAGGGTGGTTTGTAAGACTTTGTGATTGACTTACATGATTTATTTTCTCTGTCTCCAGGAAGCTGTCTCTGTGCCAGGCCCTCACCCTCATAACACTGCTGTTGTCTCCAGGTTGCCTGTCCTCTCTGTCTGTAAGATGGTCCCTATTCCATTATCCTTCAGTTTATAGACTGTTTGCAACAGTAACTTTAATGTCCTGTCAGACAGTTAAACTGAATTTTTAAGGACAAGCTTGAACAGTCAGTTGGGTATGCTCAGATTGGCAAGGCACGCTGCCAGGGTTTTGCTCACTTTAACTAGAGTGTTGTCTTTCCTGTTGATTGCCAAGAGCAGAGTTTAATCAGAGCAACCCGGGCAGGATCACCTAGGGGGATTCAGAGACTGGGTTGCCACCCTGTATTGTTTTGGAATTGCTGTTTATATACAATGCAGAAGTGATAAGTTAAGAAGAACATGACATTTGGCTTATGCTCTCTCTTTAACCTTTAAGAGGGTTGTTCACCTAAAAATAAAAATAAAAAACAATTCTGTCATTGTTTACTCACCCTCATTTCATTCCAAACCTGTATGATTTTTGTTCAACTTTAATACACAAATTAAGATGTTTTTGATGAAACCTGAGAGAATTCTGTCCTACATTCACCCAAAACATCAAAAAGTCCAAAAATACCATATTTAATGGTCTTTATGTACACGCTTAAAAATAAAGGTTCTGTACTGGCATCGACGGTTCAATGAAGAACTTTCAACATCCATGGAAACGTTCCATTACTCCAAAGGTTCTTTAGTGTGGAAGAAGGTTCTTTGGATTTTTAAAATGTTCTTCACACTAAAAAAAAAATGGTTCTTTTAAGAACTGTTCTCTGAAAGGATCTTTGAGGAACCATGATTTTTCTATGGCATTGCTGTGAAAAACCCCAACTGGAAGCATTATTTTTAAGAGTGTATGTGTATTGATCAATATTTACGTATATATGGTTAAAAGCCTAAATTAAATCTATTCGTCATATATTTATTCTTCAGTGGAGAGACAGAAATCTCTCAGCTTTGATTAAAATATTTAAATTTATGTTCTGAAGAAGAACAAAAGTCTTAATGGTTTGGAAAGACATGAGGGTGAGTAAATGATGACTGAATTTTCACTGGTGCAAGTTTCACTGGTAGCTATAGGGAAAGCTTGCATGTACTACTCTGCCTTTGGTACCTTCTGGACCTCACCCAGTCATCTTCCCTCAGTTTCCCTCCCAAGATCCAAGCTAGGTCTTGTCCACCAGTCATTATCACCTTCATTCCACTGGAATGACTTTTACATCTCCTTTAAAACAACATAAACAAGACCTATCGACAGGAGGCCAACAAGTTCATTTCAGACTTATGAATTTCCTAAAACTCTTTCCAAGAACTCTAAAGTCAACATGTCCTTTTTAAAATCTTGCCTTTGGGGGGAAGCTGGTGTTCTAAAGGTGAAAGGTCGATTTCATTAATCCGCCTTGCCCACGGGCCCCATGGCAGACTGTCATCAACACTAATTTGAGTCTTTGCTACGGTAATGAGGGCAGTTCCAGGTCATTCTGGTATTGAAGATGATGGACGTCGGTCATAAAGCACTATTGTGTCTGTGAGAGTGCAGTCATCTGTCGTTTTAACCCTCTCAGCTAGACATCCTCACTCATTACCAAACCTCTATTCACCACAGGTCTCTAGGCTAAATAAGTTCAGGAGATTCTGACACACATTCCATTTATAACCTTATTAAATGAGTCCAACCGAACCTAATTTTTCTGTAATATTTCCATTGAAAGGGTTAATCCTAGGAACCGGTACAAAGCTCTACACCAAAAAGCAGTCGCATATTTGCCAGTAAAACATCCCTTTAGGGGTCAAACTTTGGAATGCAAGTTCAATGCTCTGTTTGTATGCTGAACTCTTTTCATTTTGTTGCGACGTGTTTACACGTCTCATGTGACTCTCTGAGTTGCTCAAATTAGAAGCTGCTCTGTATGAAGTTGTTTAACATGATAGACGCTGAAAAACATGCTCTCCACACCTACATTACATTTAGAAGAATACACATACCTTGAGGAGATGTTAGGCCTAAGGCAACCCATGGAAGCTCCTCACTCTTCACGGGCTGTTACTGCCTGTTTGTCTCGGATCAAAGCCAGCAGCTGATGAATGACAGAGTAATGTTATCCTTGAAGACGATTAGTGGTGGTCTGATAGGAATACCGCTTGTGTAATGGAGGCTGTGTGTAATAGAGCTCAGTCGAGCACCTGGGGAACACTCAAACACTTCCACAAATGTCAAGTGCGGTCTAGCATAGCCGATGAGCAGGAAATTTTTTGGTGGCCTCTCATATCATGTATCTTGAGCACTAGTGTGCAGTCATTTACACTGTAAGCACAGGATTCCTTCAGTTTAGTGCTTAAAGGGGTCATACACAAAATAATGTTCTTTTTTGCAGCATCATATGACCCCTTTAACATACATCAAATGACTTTCTGAACAAATATATTTCACTTAAAGGATACATATTATGCCCCTTTTTACAATATGTAATAGTCTCTGGTGTCCCCAGAATGTGTCTGTGAAGTTTCAGCTAAAAATACTCCACAGATCATTTATAATATCATTTTGAAAATGCCTATTTTGAGTGGAAGCAGAAGCACGCTGTTTTTCGTGCCTGTCTTTTTAAATGCAAATGAGCTGCTGCTCCCCGCCCCCTTTTCCAGAATAGAGCTGCGCCATTACAGCTCGGACCTGCTAAAAAACATCTGTTTTGGTTCTGATTATCATGTTTATCGTGCTGAAATCATGCGTTTTAAACCATATGAGTTTAAACTTCTGATATACGGTTTTCTGAGTGCACACATCTGAAGCACACGGACAGAAAGCGGCTGTCACAGCATGTGAGTACTAAACTAAGTTCTCATTCACACACAAGTTTATGTTAAAAACACAAGAGTTAGAAAAACAGTCGGTTATGTCTGTGAAGGTAAACAGATGGGAAATAAATCACATGTTTATTTTAGATCTGTGTGGCAGCAGCAATATACAGTAAATAAATCAATAAATCCACTGCTCTGTTGTCTCCTCTGAGGCTGGGACTGTAAATAGTGTTCTGTGCTCGTCTGTGCAGCCAAAGGCAGAACAGTTTGCATGTTTTGCTCAAACTTTCACCATGGCATTAGAGCTGATACACTGTTGTCGCTTGTGAAATCAAATGACGGGGCTGTGGGTGGAAACTTACAGATTAAGGGGCGGTAATATTATAATGAGTTCCCTTTGCCACGTCACCAAGGGAGCGAAATCAGACCGCTCATTTTCTCAGACGCTTGCAGAAAAAGGCTTACCAAAACAAAGTTACTGGGTTAATCTTTTTCACGTTTCCTTGGTTGGTAGATCCACCGTGGACCTGTTTATAGCACTTAAAACCTGGAAAAGTAAGATTTTCATGATATGTCACCTTCAATATATTTTGCATACTGTTGTTCTAATGTATGAGCTTGCAAAAAACATCTTAGCACAACTTAGTTTATCAACTCTACCAACTCTGCTGTCCCTTTTTCTTGTTGTTCTGCAACCTTTAATTCACTTCTTTGTTTATACAGTTGCAGTCATCCAGACGAGTAGAGCTGGGAGGTGAGGGACCACAGATGCACAGCCAAATACATTTCATGAACGAGTGGGCCTCGTGGGGCGGTTGGTCCGTGTGTTCACGCTCCTGTGGGGGAGGGGCCTCTGTCCGTACACGCACCTGCATCACCAGGTAAAGCACAGACTTTGTTTACCCCATAACACCATCTTCTCTGCTGTCAGATGATTATACATGTGGGCAAAGAAAAATTAGTAGTCATGAAAAGTATTGTACCCTTAATTTTTCCTCTTGACCATAAAAGGCGCACAATCTCATCTCAACGTATTTAATGAATGGCTATGCTCTTCTTAATTTTGTCATTTCATCTGAATAATAATGTTTAAGATTTAGTCAGAATATTTTTGAGGTCAGTTTTCTCTGGAAAATTGTGTTTTATGTTGAATATCAAAGTTCAGTGTGAATTCAAACTGTTGGTATTATGACATATCTTCAATTAAAATATGAACAATTATACTCGTATACATGTAAGTTATAAAATAAATGTACCTTTCAGATGAATCTCTTTCACTGGGATTTCTGCTTTTCCTATCATTGGATTTTCAATTATTCAGCTAAATTGCCAAAACACTATTTTAAATGCAATAGCTGATTTAATATTTCCATTAATGACACTATAAAAATATTAATTTAGTGCTGCCAAACGATTAATCGCATCCAACATAAAAGTTTTTGTTTACATAATATATGTGTGTGTATTTATATATACATAATAAATATACACAATACACACACATATATTATGTAAACAAAAACGTTTATTTTGGATGCAATTAATCGCGATTAATCGTTTGACAGCACTAGATAAATATTAATAATAATTATTTCAAAAGTAATTTGTACATTCTGTAAACGTTTTTTTTTTTGGGAGGCTTCTTGCTCCAGGTAGGGGGCCAATTTACTCCAATCTTTGTCTTCTAAATGGTTCATAGTAGTATCTTAAAAGTACATATGACTATACTCTAAGGTACTAATATGCACCTTTTAAGGGCAGATAAGGTGCAGTAAAGTTCCTTTATTGCCCCAGTGACAAGCTGTTGTAGCCCTAAAGGTTCAGTTTTTGCCCATTTTTTCTGACAGTAAAAAAATACAAGAACGCATCCTGTGTGAACAGCCTTATGGTGTTTTACTTGATCATGTTTCATTATTGTTTCTCTCTTTAGAAATCTGGTAGGAGGGCCTTGCCCGGGGGACACCAGGCAATACAAGATTTGTAACACAAAGGTGCAGTAAATTCTTTACAGTTTGAACAGGATGTCTACATAGACATACATTTCAGTAACACCTTGCATGTATTGATAGTTTTTATGTATTTGGTTATCTATTTTGTTGTATTTTTTGCTTGGACATAAGGTCATCTAGCCTCAAACTTGTCAGATTTTAAATGGATGGTTCTCAGTTTCGTAACTTCACTTTTTTATTTATCACTTACTACATAAGTGTGTTGATGCAGGCTAACATTATAACACACCACCTAAAAAAATCTTCATCCCTAAAATATACTTTTATTAAATTTTACTCCTACTGTAAATGTGGCATTTTGATTAAATTGCTGATTTAAAAATTTTATTTTAGTCAATCTCCTGTTTTAATTTTACTTTGGATGTGCATGGTTCATATGATCTGTGTCACTATATATTGATGTCAGGCAAACAAAAGTTCCCTGAAGTCTTGTGCTTGTATATGTATGGACTTTTTCAAATTTTGAACAATGACAAAGAATGTACATGGATAATTACCAGATGAGTAAGCAGCCTTTCACTGGGACACATCAAGATGGATTAGCAGTGTGTGTTCCTGACTACCTCTGAATTTGGTTTGAGTGATTATATCATGAAACGTTTTGAGCCTGGCTTACACCAGTGATCCCAATACCTGGGACAGATGTTAAAACCAGGTTTAAATGGGGTCATTGTGTCAGCATGCAGATTCATGTGTTGTGTTTATCCTGAGTCCTCCAGGGCGGTTAGTGACCCTCAGAGTGTTAATGAATCAGGGCTTTAGCAGCTCTAGATGTGTGTTTTCTCTCCTGAGCTTTGTGTCTGTAACATCAGGAGTGTCCTGCTGACTCAATGGACTTCAGAGAACTGCAGTGTAAAGCTTTCAATGACAGACCCCTGGTCTCTGGCAGCAGTTACCTTTGGACTACCTTTCATGGAGGTCAGTGAAGCATGACTCTTCTCTTTTGAAGCATGTGTTGTGTTACTGTGTGGATTTCTCCTTCTGCTAGGTGCTTATACCGACTGAAACCTGATTTATACTACTTTCAGGATCTGACCCATGTGAGCTCAGCTGCCTGGCAATTGGACACAACTTCTACTACAACTTTGGGCGGGTTCTTGATGGCACACCATGCCAATCAGATCAGGGGACAGTCTGTGTGAATGGAAAGTGTCTGGTGAGTAGTTCTTAGGACACGGCTTCATAATAGCTGACAACCACAAAGTACTGTGCAAAAAAAAAAAATACATTTAAAGACCTATATCTGATCTGACTCTTAAAAGAAAAACAACTTTTGTTAGGACTAACAATTTAATAATTGAAACATAAAAATATATAATCAATTTGTAAATGGACAAATTAATAGAAATATTTAAAAATGTTTTAAACAAATTAATAAAAAAATCTTTTTAAATTGACTAACAAAATAGACATTTAACAGGATTTTTAAATAAATGTTTTAAATAAAATTCTAAGTAGAAAATGTTTGAAATGTATTCAGGGTAATTCCATCATAATATATCATATTTTTTAGTTGAATGAAACCTTTTTTTCAGTACATTTGTCTATTTCTTCTGTCTAAACTTATCATGCTATTAATGTTTTTATTATATTGTTTCATGTGTCATGGTATTATAATAGTATTTTGTACATGTATTGTTACTTGTCACTATCATAGGTGTATGGTGTTCAGTACCACGGTGTATATAACCATCTGATACCATCAATGTACTATTTTTTCATCACAGGTATTTTTGTAAGGACAAATTAAAGTATTACAAGGTACATATTACAAAAACCTACACATATTTGTGCATGTAAAGATGACTGAAGGGACCATAAGCCTCGCCTAGTCCTGAAGTCATGCTGGTGTGAATTTGGTTTCCATCACATGAGGACTGGAAAGGAGAAGCACATGCATAGTGGGGCCCAATCATTAGCACCATGTGGCAGATTGAATCCATATGTGTGAAGCACACCTTGTGTGTGTGTGTGGTTGCCCCTGTGTGAGGCCCCCCCGAATCATGGGAATGTGCCATTGAGAATCATTATTTCACAAACTACCAAGATTAAGAAAGGAAATGCAGAGAAAGGCAAAGAAAGAGATAAGGATCGGAGGTCATGTATTAGGAGGAGGGTTGCACCTGCGTGAAATGGAGTGCACGGGAGGTCTAAAGACAAACAAGGGCTTAATTATATCCTGCAGAAATTGCCGAGGACAGTTCACTCCTGCACACCTCCCTTCTACCTCTGCAGTCTCCCCTGATGTCTCCTCCTCCACCCCTGTGCTCTGGAGCTTAAGCCAAACTTCTGCCTGAATGGTCTTGATCCCTGCCCGGGCCTCATGATCCCACTCTTGTTTGTGTGCGGTGGCTCACAGAGAGATCACCTGCCTCTGTTTGGACCTGAGGACCTAAACACAGACAAGAGACCTTTCAGGATGGTGCAGAGTTACACTTATATAATGGACATTAAAACATATGATTTCTTATCATTATTATCAAAAACAGTTGTGCTTCTTAATAATTTTGTGGAAATCATGATACATTTTTTCAGGATTATTTGATGAGTAGAAAGTACAAAAGAACAGCATTTATTTGAAATAGAAATGTTTTGTTACATAATAAATGTCTTTGCTGTCACTTTTAATCAATTTAATGCATACTTGCTAGATAGAAGTATTCATTTCTTTAACAAAAAATAAATAAATGCATGTGCAATCTGCATTATGTATACTTCAGTGCATGCTGGGAACTGAGGTAGACTTAAAGCATAAGGTGCTATTTACAATGTTACATTTTTTACACCTAATCCAACCATTCGGAATACACATATAATTAAAGAAATTAAGTTGAAATGCTGAAAACTCATAAAATCAATTGCAAATGCCAGGAAATATTATGCTGGAAATTAATGGATGAAAACTAATCGTTGCTGCTCTTACAATGATGAAATCATTTTTAGTGTAGTAGATAATGCAGTTATTTTGAGGGTCTTTAATCTTGGATGCTTCACTCTTTAGTAGTGTCTAAATTTATTTCCTGGAAGGTCTCCAAGATTCTGTGGGCCATAAGCTGTTCCAGTTTTCATCAGGAGCGTTACGGGATCAGCTTGTACTGTTAAAACAGAATGTGACGGTGCTTGATATTTTGGCTTCTAATCACAGGGTTTATATGTGTGTGTGTGTTTGTGTGTGTGTGTGTGTGTGTGCAGAAGCCAGGATGTGACTTGATCTTTGGATCTGAGCAGCAGGAGGACGCCTGCATGGTGTGTGGAGGCCACAACTCAACCTGCCTTCATCACAGAAGTGTTTATCAAAGCAACGGGCAGAACAACGGTCAGCAATGAATCTAACTACACTCACATTGACTTTAAACAGCAGAACAGAAAAATAAGCTCAGAATTCTGCAGATATGTTCTGATTTATATAACATAACACTTTTATTTAAACGTAAATGTAAGAAATGTGAATAAATGGTAACTGTATAAATCTTGTTTGAATGAATCCTTGTATGAATCTTATTCAGAGCAGCACAACTGTAAAATTTGGCATTTAGCCATGAAATCCTTAACCTACACTACTGTTCAAAAGTTTGAAGTTGAAAGATTATTTATAATATACATATATAAACATACATATATTTTAAAATATAATGTATTCCTGTTATGGCAAAGCTGGATGTTCATTTTTGTGGAAACTCTTTTTTCTGGATTCTTTGATGAATAGAAATTTCTAAAGAACAGCATTTATTTGAAACAAAATGTTTTTGTAGCAAAGCAACAGTCTTCTTTGTCACTTTTGATCAATTTTTTTTTTTTTAAATCAAACTTTTAAACTGTAGTGTAAGTGATTTCTGGGTGACTCTCTCTCTCTTTTTCTTCTTTATCTCACGGTTTCTCTCGCCCTCACACATATCTGTGCACTTAGAACACCGTCACCTCTGGCTTTGAACTTCTCCGCATGAAACAGAACCTCTTTTAAAATCTTCCTTCATGCTGGCCAACTGAAAATACAGAGCATTTACTTTGGGGAAAACACAGCGATAATACTGGCATTGTTTGGCCACCCAAAAAATACTTGGTTTCCCACTCTCTTCTCCGCATCTGGATTTCTGAGAGTAGGATAACAGATTCGAAGCTGCCAGCACAGAGCTCTGTAAAGAGGGTCAAAAGTCAGAGGAGATGAGAAAAGAGCAGCCTGGGTCATAATTCTGCGGTTCAGCGCCTTGCAGCCAGAACAATCCATCATGGAAGACATACAGTTCTGAGCAGGACTGCGCACCTGTTGGAAATAACTGTGTTTTCTTTTTTCAAATGGGCTGAGATGCATTACTCTCTCATCTGTTTCCCTGCAGGACTGTTTGGGTACAGTGAGGTCACTATGATCCCGGCCGGAGCCACACACATCAGAGTGACTGATAACAGCAGAAACTATCTAGGTTAGAGCACAGCCTAACATCTCTCCAACATGTGGTTCTCAGAGCAAAAGTGGCAAGGTGCACAATGTGAGACAGAATTGTAGAAGACTACAAAAAAAAGCATTTACTTTGTCTTTATTAGCACAATAATATGACATATTGGAGAATATAGTGAATATTTTCACTATATTCTTGCAGTAACAAAACGTCGTCCCTTTATGCAGTTTGTCCGATTGCTGTATAAGAACATTACAATTATGCTGTGTTGTGGTAGTGCAATGTTTTTTCTAAAAAAATCACTTCTAAATGTTTTTCAAAGCACTCCAGAATGGGCGCTCTCAGTTTGTGATCAATGGGAACTGGAAGATCAATGTTCCTGGGGAGTACAATGTGGCAGGAACCAAACTTCTGTACCGGCGCTCTGCTGATACCTGGGAGAGTTTTGAAGTTCCAGGACCTACTCAGGAGGACCTGCACATCATGGTTAGCTTTAAAATGACACATAATTAAAAAAATTAAATAAAATAAACACAATTCGTAGCCAGTACAACTGTGTTCATTTGTTCTGGTCTGATTGTAGGTCTTGTCCACTGATAAGAACTCTGGGATTGAATATGAGTACTGGCTGCCTCCAGACCGTTACGCCCTGTATCATGGGAGACGCCAACTTCGGCAGCCTCACCACACATCAAACCACTTGCCCTTTGAACTTCCAACCACTACAACTACCACTACTACAACCACAACCACTACTACAACACAGCCAGTCACAAAACCTCATTTCTGGGGTAAAAACCTTTCATTCTTGGTATTTAATTAATAATAATAATAATTTATGCATTTAGCAGACGCTTTTATCCAAAGCGACTTACAGTGCATTCAGGCTATACATTTTTTTTACCAGTATGTGTGTTCCCTGGGAATCGAACCCACGGCCTTTTGCGCTGTTAACGCAATGCTCTACCACTGAGCCACAGGAGTAAAAATCTATTAAGCTTTTGTTTAAATTACTACATTAGTTGTAGTATGGTATTTAGAAGTATCTTATCTGTGCAGTGACAAGATCATGCATTAAGATAAAGGTATATATATTTAATTTGAGTTTGTTTGAAGTATGTGCGATGGTAAATATCTGGCAGAAATGCCCCAGTCGCTTAAAGCTTAATGTTAGGAGTCTTTTGTAAATACAACTGTGATTTACGAGGTCATGCCCTCAGGTCCTGCTGCTCACTGGCCTCTTCAACCCCCCTATCAACAGCAGCCAGTCCCACGTTTGGAAAGAGATGAAAACCGCAGGAACCGACTGCATGCTATACACCGTAGAGGTTAGCACTTTATCACTGCCATTAGTGTATGTCACCGCAATTCTGAATTCAATCTTGCATTCTTGCATTCGCGTATAGAATACAAAACATTGTGCTGAACAAAATGCCAGCATTTTGAATGGCATTCTGCAGATTCTGTCTATCCTGAATGCCTCTGATTGCATTGATGTGCAGATGTCTTTGATTGGCTACAATTCTCAGAGGACATGTTGCAAACAGAAACCTCTGAAGCTCTTCACTCAAAAACCATTTGCACAGGAGTGTTTGAAAGCAGGAATCTATCAGTGGGTACCAAATAGACCTGATACTTGGTTCTACCAGTACTGCAGAAATGGCAATGTTAACATTTTTTTAAATTTCAGTGTAGACTTGCTACCAAATTATTTCCATTATTTGCATATCATCTTGTAACTTGTTCATTCCCTCTGTTAATTGTTCTTTTGCACGGATGACAAAGTCTGGGCTTTTTTATGTCATGACATCCTTTTGTAGCCCACTGTGGGAAATGTCGCCGGGTACGAGGGAGAGGTGAGCGCCAGAGACAGTATTGCCAAAAAGATTTTGGTGAGTTCAATCAGTATGTCTCTTCAATGCCAACATAATACAAGTGGTGTAATATACATAGTGTATTGGATGATGACGATACATTTGTCTGCTGCGACAGTATTTCGAGCAAAAGTGCTGGAAAAAGTCTATCATGGTGAGGAGACCCGCTTTGATGTCCAAATCATCCACACATACCGCAACCGTTATCGTCTGGAGCACCGGGAGTTCCTGTGGGCGCCCAACAAATGTGACTGTCCCTTTTTGGAGGAGGGGCATCAGTACGTGTTGATGCTGCGAAGGCATATTAATTATGAACGCACTCTCAATCGCATCCTGTTGGAGGAGGACAGCTACACTCAGCCTTATCGAGCCCGCGAGGACAGCCTGCTGCGCCCCCTAGAGGAGCTCTGCGGTAATAGAGGCAGCAGGACTCAGCTCGGAGGGTAAACACATGGACGATCACACTTTCACTGCACACTTCTTCAGACAGGTGCAGACAGAAACCCCGCTCTGACGCTGAATTGAAATCAATGATGATTTTACTAAAGCATTTTGCATTCCTCAATAAGGACAATGGACACTTTGTCGGGATGAATTATGTCCGTGGGGGCATGAGGCAAACCAAAGCAAAGAGAGTCACTAAATGAAGCACTTTAGGTGGACAGTCACCTTTTAAAACTTATACACCAAAGTAAATAATATACACAGAATTTATGATGCCTTTTCTAGCACCACGTGTTTGTTAATGGCATAAAATCTCTTGACAGCATGTGTTATCTTTATCATGTGCATTTTGATGTTTTTATATATGTATTTATAAGCAGACAGTATTTCTAGAGGAAACCTTGATTTATATATTGCCTTATAATTTTAAATGTTTTACCATCAATATTTTTGCTCTTATCAATAATTATAAAGTGTTTATGAGTCACATATACATTTACACATTCAAGATAAGCAGCATATACGTAAAACTGTCTATGGCGTAGCGCTTTTGCCAACGAACAGTTGTTTTCTGCTTTATATTTGGCAGCCGTTTTTCCCTTTCATCATTAGCAGACTAACTAAGATTATCCTATTACCTTGATGTGGTTGCTAAATTATAGTCCAGCCTTTCTACAAAACACACATAATCTCTAAAATGTGTTTTGTTAAAAATATATTTACAAAAATAACTTATCTTTTATGACAGTCACATCAAACTTTCTAACAGAAACATGCAATTAGGGCTAAATACTCTGGCTGTCACCGGGCTATTAAAGTCATTATACTCAAGATAACAGCTTTTTCTCCCTGTGGCCTTTGATTGGCTGAGAGAGTGGGTGGGGCAAGTCCCCAGAGAAAAATGATATATATATATAGTTAAAGTTCACGGTCTTCTCCTCCGTCAGGCTTCAGGATCTGTGGTGCCATCGTCTGTGGCGCTCCTGGAGGGTTTGATGGTCGTGGCTGGTCTCGATGCACAGCACGATGAAGCGGTTGGAGCAGCTGCGTGTTTGCTGGTTCAGTAAGCCGCTGTAGAGGAACGACGCTTGACCGGTGATGGCCATGTCACCCGCTCTCCACGACTCACAGTTCAGAGCGGACAGACGCTTGCCTCTCTCTGAAGAGCCGTGCCACACCGCCTTCTGAGGCCTGAAACACACACACACACACACACACACACACATGAGCCACAGATCACTGAAATAAAGCATTGCTCACATAATTTATCCATCTTAATATGCATAAATTTAACAAAAGCTTAAATGAAAGCCTATTTTGGAAAAAGCCTATTTCAGGTAGTTTCCATATGTCCAATAAAAAAATTCTTCTACATTTTAGAAAAAAAAAACACTAAATATACAGACATCCAGCTTGTCCAGAAAATGTTAATGTCATATTCCTTTTGGCAATTGTAGCACATCCCCTAAAGGTATGCTTGTACAGTCTTAAACATGGTTAACATTTTCTGTTCCCATGTTGAATTGCATTCATAGTGCTGGTGATTTTAATCCTAACAGGATTATCAGGAGGATCAATGTTAATTTAATTGAAGTCTGCTCTTCAGTGTTCAGAGATCCACTGTGACCCATTTCCTTTGGGGTGGAACTCCCCAGTAACCGGCACCCATCCCCACTGTCTTTGACGCTGTTGAACAGTCTGTTATTCACACGCTGACGCTAACGTGGCGGTGGGAGGCGGCCCGTCTCTTGATGCGGGCGCGGCGAGGTCGTTTGTGATCAGACTGGCAGTGGCACAGGGGACCCAGGAGGAGCCACAGATACAGAACCACACACGCCCAGCAGGAGGACAGCTTGACCCAGAATGTGGAGTAACTCCCATGGGTGAAGGTGGTCTCCAGCACAGCAGTCTCGTAACTGGAGGAGACAGAACAGTATTATCAAAATTGTGATTTGAGCCCTCTTTACTTTCATGTACATTTGTTTGTGTGCTACACGTTTGGCAACACAATTGCAGAACAATTCTCCAGATATTAGCTAAATCTGAAAAAAGCCCTTCTTTTAGAGATGTTATCAAAATACAAAAAAATAAAAGAGAAATATTCAGCTCAATATTTCTCAATAGATCTCTAGAACAGCTCAGATGACTTCTTTAACAACTGACCTGAACCAATTAGTGAGGGTCATCATTACGTAGAGGGAAGCCAGAAAGAAAACAAAATGGAAGAAAAAGTAGCTGTAGGCGACGCGATGGGACTCACTGTGGATGACTTTCTGACAGCCTTTGTTCTCGTCAATGACGAACTCTTCCTCTGACGGGACAGAAACAAAGTTGTTAATACCTTCTGTCTTGTACACTATTGTGTTTAATGACATTAATATGTGTGTGAAATATATGGATATTGGAACTTGTGATATTCTTCTCACCATCTTCGGCCTCTGGGCAGCAGAAGCAACAGGAGGCTTTCTGTTCAGGACATATAGTGGGAGACATTGTCAGAGACATTAATTCAAATATTTAAGAACAACATTTCCGTAATTTTAATAGTTTACTTTACCAAAAAAATGAAAATTCTGTCATCATTTATTCACCCTCGTGTAGTTCCAAACCTGTATGACTTTCTTCTGTGTAACACAAAAGAAGATATTTTGAAGAATGTTGGTAGCCAAACAGTTTCCGTTACCATTGCCTTCCATTATATGGACAAAAAATACAGTTGAAGTCAAAGGGAAAACGGAAACTTTGGTTTGCAACATTCTTCAAAATATATTCTTTTGTTTGTTCTGCAGAAAAACGAAAGTCATACAAGTTTGGAATGATAGAATTTCAGTTTTTTGGGGGGTTAACTATCCCTTCAAGAGTTAAAGAAGTCAAGTCACTAATATTTTTCTGAGAAAGACACATACCTGGAACTCATAGCGGTAAACTTTTATCATCCAGAAAGGTCCAAAGACCTCAGCTAAGTATGAAGCCTCATTGCTGAGAGAGAAAATCGGCAGTTAGCCTTTCTATTAATATCCCAATACTAATACCTCTTTACTCTTTGTACTTTTTTACTCACCATGCGAAGAGAACACAGCAGTACATGATTGCAGCCCCAATAATGGCCACTACATTGCCTTCATTCTGAATCTCATCCCTGCTGACTTTGGGGTAGCACATGAGATGGGATTAAACTCCCAGCATGCCTTCAGTCCTTTATGAAGTCATGCAGCAAACAAAGGCTATAAAGCCGCTGATAGTTAGGGAACAAGACAGGACACAACAAGCACACATATAAACACAGCGCCATTCGCCAAATGAAAAAAAGTGCAAGAAGTCAGTACACCGTTTCCAGAAGCAGCAGTACTGCCATATTAATCTCACCACACAGTGATATTTCAAGTCAAAAGCTCTTCATCAGACAATATGTAAATCATACTAAATCCAAAACCTGCCAAATGTAAGAATTATTCTGCAATCCTTTTACAGCAACGGCTGTAATTCTTCTCCTCTGAATTTTACCATCAGTATAACATCTGTATTTCAAATACCCACGTGAAACACCCTCAGCTACATCTGTGTTACAAGCTTGAGAGCTTTTCTATGACCTCAGTCAGCAAAGCTTTTCTTTCTGGAAATCTCATTCATCTCTGTCGTATGTTAAGCATGCACCATTCATCACCTTCTCTGAAATTCACCACTAATGGATGAAATGATGTGAGGTGAGATGAGATGACGAACCAAGAAGAGTTTTGTGGGCTCCACTGATGACTTTTTGTTAATGACTATGTGATTACAGGCAGTTTGATTAATTTTGCTGAGGGATAAATCTATTCGATTACTCCGGTCGAGGTTTGCACGCACCACTGCATGGAGGCTGCACTGTGACCTTCAAATATCAGATCAGTCTGTGATCTGCATTGCGCTCTAGAAAGTATTTTAGTGTTTCATAAAGAGTGGAAAGAATTTAAAAAGGTCACCAATCACTCTACAAATGCCTGTCATCATTACTGTGACTGGATGGTTAGTTACTTGGCTTTATGTTGACAGGTAGAGACAGGCTCACACATGTTGGATCCAGGGTTAGTTTCTTCCAGAACAATCAGGGTTAAAGGTGCAATAGGTGATTGTCTTCAGAAACATTTTTTTGTTATGCTGGTTGAAAGACACTTCACATCCCGATAGCAAGCATTAAGTTAAGTGGCCTAAATGTATTTATCTGTATTTATATATTCTGTGGAAGGCGTAGGACCAAGAAATGTTTGTCCAATCAAAACGCTCGGTCCGAGCGTTTTAATTGGCTTTCCTACCTGTCTGTCAACGTATGTATTAGCATACCTCTGCGAACCCGGTTCGCGCAGACAGGATACGTCATCAGTGCGTTCACGCACGCTGTGCAGACAGAGCAAGAATGGCAGACAAACATCAACAACCCGATCTTCCTTCCTGGTATTGTAGTACTTTTAAAGTTTTCTCACCGGTGAATGACACGTGATGTAGCCCAGCAGTTCCCAATTCATGTCCTCGTGCATGTATTTTGCATGTCTCGCTTAGTTAACACACCCGATTCAGATAACCAGCTCGTTAGAAGAGAGCTACATGCATGAACTATGTTCTGATCGGTATGATCCCTACACAGTGTTCATTGCTCCCTACTCCCTGAGCAGGGGAAATATGTTGAAGTTTATTTAACTTCGGAACATGGGCTGGAATTGGGAACCACTGATGTAGCCTAAGTAATGTTGTCTCTGGTATTCTGGTCTGTGAGTGAGCGTATATGCGCTCAGGGGGCGTGGCTTTGGACGGCGATTGCAGGAAGGTGGGAAGTTCGCTTTCAGTGCTATCAGGCTAAAGTTAGCATTTTCCAAGATCTCCTACTGCACCTTTAAGTGTTTAATGATCTTGTAAATAGGTAACGGTGTCATTAAAGTGTTACTCGACGCATCAGCAATGTTGTGATCCGTTTTATTTTTAAGAATTGTTTTTATACTTTTGCAGAATTTATTCATATTTTGAAATATTTATTTTTTTAATAATTCCAGTTTTCATTCTAATTCAGGTTTTAGTAGTTTTGTTATGTGCTTTTTTAATTTTAATGTTATTTTGTATTTCTATTTAGCTTTATTTTTACTTCAGTTTTATTGTAGTTATTTTAGTAGGACTCAAAATATACTTTCAATTAGTTCACAATTCAATTCACAATTCAGTTTTCGCTCATCTGCTCAGATGATGTCTTGTAAGGACAGCGATTGGTTCTTGACTCAGACCTTCCCAGAGGTGATTGGTCGAGTGATGAATACGCTGCTCGTGACCTCTACAGTAAGCTTTTCCCCACTCAATGAGATAACGACGATTAAATACTTTGCATTTATGGTGAGACAGAAAATGTTAAATAAAAATATGAATATACATAGCCTATTTTACATCGACATGATTTATTTGTTGAATGACTGTTTCTTTATTTAGTTAAAAATTAACGTAAAAGCATCTCGGTCTAGCTCTGGAGGTGTGTTCTATGTAAATCTGCGCCCAGTGATTGGTCAAATCATTACACTCAGGTGTTAGCGTCAAACTGTCATTGTCCTTAACAGCAGGTTTATTGATTCAAGCATTTAGAAAATGTTTCTTTTTCCGTAAAGTTTATACTGACCTGATACCACGGAGAACCCAAACAACTTGCCCAAAACACCCTTTCATAATTAAAGGTATGCTATGCTTTAATTTATTAGTTATTATCCACCTGTGTGCACATAATATGATTTCCATAAAAAAACAACACCAATAAGCCAGAGCACCATATTTTTAAGATACGTTTAGGCTATAAGACAAGACACCACAGGGTACAAATTAACTAACAGATGTCACCATGCATGCTCCTTTTGATTAATCACTGCACATTCAGAAAATGGTTTTGTATTACAAGAATTCTGAAAAGTTATAGGCTATTTAAATATTGTTGATACATTTTGTTGATATATTAGTCAAAGGTTTTTAAAGGGGGATCTCTTTTCATCACTCCTTAAATCAGAAAACTTTCAACAACCATAAAAACAAATCATTTTAGGGAAAAACATGTTATATAAATCAGGAAAATTATATTTAAACAGACATAAGTGCTTTTGAAGTGACTCATTTTGAGAAAATGGCCTTTAAAGATGTATTATAATTCAAATCTACTGACGCAAGTAGTGTATTTTGGATAGTTTTCTTTATACTAGTCTGAAAGAAGACATGTTATGAGAGCAAAATAGCCCAAAATCTTAAAATTTACCAGTGCATGAAAAAATAATGTTTTTTCCTGTAGTATCTTGCCTTAAGACCTGACACTGTTATGCATATGACAAGCAGTCTTTCCGACTTACCCTTCTCTGGTGGGCGGCTGGATAGAGCAGAGAAGGTCAGGTACATGACATAGCAGCAAATAATGGAAGCCTGCAGGAGTCCTGAGCGGGGCTGCTCTGAGAAGGACAGCAAAACAAATTGTCAGCTTAATTTCTGAGAAGTACATAAAAAGTAGACTAAAAGTATACTTTCCTATTTTTAGTTTAAAAGAAGTATACTAATAGCACACTTGAATAAACTTCTTTTTCGTAAGGGTAGTCATGCTTGATTTAGATAAACTTCATGGTTGAATTGTTGCAAGAGTATTCCCACAAAACCTGTATCGTTTCTTGATTTGTTTATATCAAAACTGCTGCTATAATCTACTAAACTATTGTTTCGGTGAGAGAACAGACACAGATCACTAACTTTGCTGCACACAGGGAGTGACCGCAATAAAGGACATGATGGTGCAGAGGGCCAGGTTAGTCCAGAGCAGGGCTTTATTCAGGTGGCATCCCGCTGGGTGAGTGTAGTATTTGTACATAAAAGTGAAGGCCATGGTGGCGACGGTGTAGAAAAAGAGGGTAGCACACATGACTGCCACGTACCACCTCTTATTCTCAGCTGCACCGGTTAACCTGGGAATGAGAGACGGGGTGAGATCAGTGACGCCTCACGTCTAAATTGAAAAGAGAATTCACAATTCCATTGTGTTAAGATGACTTTCTGCTTCAAAATGGCTTGAGGTATACTCCACAAACATCTGGGGAAAGCTGGATGTCAGAAGAGTTTGAATGTTTGCATGCGTGTTTGTATGCATGTGTATATGAATAAGTGAGAGACCAGAGCGAGAAACAGGAAGGGAGTGAAGGACAGAGATTATCTAAAACTGTGAAGGGAGATATTTTATCATTCCAGAGCAAGATGTAACTCGGACATGAACCAGATGTGGTTCTATAGTCTGATAATGGGTGCTTTCCTACAGTAGTTGTTGTGGGTTATTGCAGGTTTGTTTTAGGAGGTCGTACCTACAGTATACTGTCTGTGTGAACCTAGTTTCTTCACTCACCAGTTTTTATTCCATGTATGAGCGAAAGCAGTGATGAGAATGAGTTGAATGAGGATAAAAGCAAAGCCTCCCACTACTCCAACATAATGCCAGGCTACATGAAGAGAGGAGAAAAGAGAACATTTAAATTAAAGTAAGACTTATGGAATGATAGTCTTAATTCTGAATCTTGAGCAGAACAAAGTCATTCGTAAAATAATTTGTCTGTAAAATGTCACACTGAATTGAACATTTTACGCACAGTTTTTGAACGATTTTAAGAGAAATGTGTTCAGGTTGTCTTTCATAAATGAGGCCCACTGAGTGAATCCCCACTTTGTGTGCTAATGGAAAATGTTCAGTGTGTCTATAGTGCTACCTGGTGGATTTAAATAATAAGTGCAATTCACATTATCCAGACTGGCCAGAGCCATCAGCCTCTATAATCCCATTAAGCACATAATCACTTTAGATACAGTATTCACTACAATCTCCATGTTTTGATCGATATACTTCCTTTCCCATATCAGTATGGATGCACAATATATTGGTATCGTATTGGTTATTTTCCAATTTTAGAGATTAATTTATAGTTATCAATGTTGAATATTTAATTGCGCATTCTCATTTCCCATATTCTTACATTTAGACCATCATGTAACACTCATTTAAAGTTAATCTTTAAAACTACTTTAATTACACAGTTCAATTCAATATTTAGCAAAACTCAAAATGAATATCTATCTTTCATACTGTACATTATAATGTTGTGATGTCTAACTTCACTTGTTTCAAATGATTTATTTTAGTTTTAGCGTTATTATTAGTAGTATTATAATTATTTAGACAAAGCAGAATTCTGATTAATCATGACTTAATTATAGAATTGGCCATAACACGTTCAAAAGTTTGGGGTCGGTAAGATTTTGTTAATGTGTTTGAAATTAGTCTCTTATTAAAAAAAAATACAGTAAAATTGTGAACTGTTATTTAAACGACTGTTTTCTATTTTTACATATTTTAAAATGTAATTTATTCTTGTGAAAGCTGAATTGTGAGCAGTCATTACTTCAGTCTACAGCGTCACATGATCTTTCAGAAATCTGCAGATATGGCATACAAGAAACATTTCTTATTATTATCAATGTTGAAAACAGTTGTGCTTAATATTTGTGACCCTGGCTGTGCAAACTACATCAAATCATCCTTCATAAGGTAAAGAACATTCTGTGAAAATGTAACCTTGATAACTTTAATATTAACTGAGTAAGATTTAAATCATAATGAAATTAATGGTTAAAATCAAACTTTGATGCTTCTTATCTCATAATCAGATTTTGAGACTTTAGCCTGGATTGCACAGACAGGGTCACATTTTCCCAGAACTTTGATATATTTTATTTTGAGGATACTTTGGTGAATAGAACAGCATTTATTTGAAATGGAAATCTGTAATTTTATAAATGTTTTTGCTCACTTTTGATCAAAATAATGTGTTCTTGTGTCAAAAAAAATACTGACCCCACACTTTTGAACCATAGTGTTATTATTGGATTTATTAGTATCAATCCGATCTTGCAAATTTTGATATCGGTGCATGCCTACATATTATTTATCAGAAATATAAGCCTTCAGAGATGATCAGCTCACCATGCAAAAAAGATTCTGTGGGAATAAAGAAGGCAGCAGCAATCATTCCAAGCATGGTGATGAACTTCAGAAACCAGAACCTAAGTGAAGATGAGGAGAATAAGTGTTGTGTTAGTTTATAAGTAACTCAATAAACCTTCCTCATAAGAACTTTCCTCAGCAACTTCATAGAAGAAGCTTTAACAATCTAAAGAAGAAGAAGAAGTGCACCTTTTTCCACTATAGGGAATCTTTTTGTGCAATGGAAAGGCTCCATGGATGTTAAAGGTTCTTTATGGAACCATAGATGCCTTTATTTTAAAGAGTGTAGGGAATAATGACACTGACCCGTTATGAATGAGGGCTCGGAAATCCTGACTAGACTTCACATCAATGAGGAAGATGGCCATCATCAAGTAGAAACAAGCTGTGCCGAAACACACCCTGTAGACGGCAGAGTAGCCCACCAGCATCTGACAGTCTCCTCCACCATGAGCCTCATCACACACCATGTTAAAGAAAGGCACCTGAGGAAGAATGTCATCTGTTATTGCGTGCCACAGTGTTTCTGTCGGGCACAGACTGCTGGCATGTGTAGCTGCTGTGTGTCCTGCCAAGCAGATTAGCCAAGATTTGGTTGGCTGAGACTACAAATGAAGCAGAGTTTGGGGTGTTTACATAAAACTATAGGTTAGAACCACTGGAGCCAGTGCAACTTGTAGACAACTTACATTCTCCCTCACTGTCTCTCTTTACAGATTAACAATCTTTTATGAGCATATACAGGATTTGGAATGATAACGGCACGTGTTATAGTGAAAAATCTTTCAGAAATGTTTAACACTGTGCTTCAATCCAATATCCTGTTGCAGTCATTCACAATTTGAAATGCAGGGAAAGGCCAGCATCAAAATATATAGTCATTCTCAATTGAAATTTTGAGCTATGTAAATGTCTAACCCATTTACAATTGACCTTATGTTGTGTTCCAGTCATTTTGGCCTGGAGGATTTTCTTTTTCCTGAAAATACTAGTTAGTGTTATCACATTGGACTAAAACTTAAGACTTTTTTTTTTTCTATTAGCACAGATTTTGTATTTGTCTTCGGAACTAATTGATTGTAGGCCTCAGTGATCTGAGCTTATGCACCTCAGTATTTGAGTGAACTTGGCCAAAATTGTACACAATGTTCACTCAAAAACTGAGGTGCAGATTAATAAGATTTGGTGATAATATAGCATAGTGAGAGATTTACAAGCAATTTTTTAAAAGGCCGGCCATGTTTGACCAGGAACATCAAATTAGGTGATGCATTTTTCTTTTAACACAGCACAGTATATTAGTACCAGCTAGAAGATTTGATTTTGTCCTTTATAGAAATTGATTTACAAAAAATTACACAAAATTTGAAAGGTTTTATCAGTGAATCTCACATCTCAAAGAAAAAACAAACAAACTTAACAATGTGTTTATTATACAAACAAATAAATCATCTACCCTTAAGTAATTTCCTTATTAACTAAATGAAATAGGGCTACCCCTGTTTTATCATTAATTTTTATAAATGTTCATTTACATTAAAAAAAACATGTCTAATAGTTCACTGATGGTGCATCACTGTATTGTACTTAAAATTCACTTGAGACAAACTGTCTAATTACTATATAACTCAAACTGCTCTTAATAATTCAGTGGCAATATTCCTACAGCCAGTGAAGGAGGATGAAAACACACTGATTCTTAAAGCTCATGAGGAGTTTTACCTTCGCATACCAAACAACAATAACAACAACTGACCAAATGACTTTAACAGTGCAATAAAAATAGTAGTCATATAAAATAGTAGTGGAATTAAAGTTTAAAAGTGGATTGTTCTATTCTGGTGATTAAGCACAGCCGCTGAGTTATTCAAATGAAAATGCACTAATGCGGGGTTAAATAGTTGATACAATAGAAAAAGAAATGAGCTGAGGACTAAGAGCATTATGCCAGAGCATTATGACAACCTGTAAACACACTGTGTCACTTCACAAGCTTTTCAGTTGTATTTTTTTCAGTAATCCAACTTGTTTTCTAAAGCCACAGCCAAAACATCTGATAATCCAGTGACTGAAAATGTACTAGTTATAAGATAAGTGACATTAGAAACAGGCAGGTTCCTTATGTCTATCATTCATCATAAATTTTCTACAAAGGCAGATTAGATTCTTATAAGAGAAGCTTGAATAAAGCTTTTTGTGTGTGTGTGTGTGTTTCAGTGATCAGAGATCTCTGACAAAAAAGAATAATCATCTGAAAAACCTGATGTCATTCTCACATGATCTCCATCTCCATCTCTCTCTCACCTGATAAGCCACCATGTTCAGGAAATAGTTGTAGACACCGCTGTGGTGTAAAGCTTGAGAAGTCGACATGGCTTCTTATTTCTCAAGGACGATTAGTCATTAAAACAAGACCTCCAGAAAAAAATCTAGGAGAAAATATAATAAATAAAAAAGCGTATGCTATAGCCAGTCAGGGTCAGGACACTAGGAGCTCCTCAGCTTTACAGGAAAGAGTCCTCAGCTAGTCCTGCAGGTGTAGTTCCACGAATCCCCAAATGCACACCCTCATGTTGCTCTCGTGGGAACATCCGAACAGTCTTCCCATATCCTATACGAGCAGCCTGGTGGCATCGAATGGTAATCTGGTCATTATGCTTTGACCCAGAAACAGAGGGATGCGAATGAAGCGGGTGCACAGGAAAAGTGGCACAGGTCCAGACCGGCATTTTTTTGCATACATTGACCACAGCCTAGTGTAAAATGGGGGTGCAATTCAGCAAACTTCACATACTAAATCTTCACAATTATTTCAGCTGTTATGAAGTGGATAAGAATCATATGTGTGGATAAGCATCATATATGTAACAGTGTGTCATGTCTCTGGCTGTGTTATGAGTTGTTAGCGTGCAGAGCGTCCGGTAGCTCTATATTTAGGTCAGTGTGTATGTGTGAGGATGTGTGCTGGGATTATCCTGGAGTTTTTAGTCTTCGTCTCAGCCTGGGTGACCTTCTCTCTCCAGTAGAGTGACGCACTAATCCAGACAACAAGGGTCTGGCAAACACAGGCCCACTTGAATCACTAGCCTTCAGCATCATGTACAGATTTGACATCGTACATGACTGTTGTGATGTTGATTCAGAAATCACACTTGAAATAACTCAAATGTAGAAATTGTTGCCATTTAACTCACCCTGTCATTACAAACCTGTATGACTTTCATATTTCTTTTGTGAAACCCAAAAGTATATATTCTAAAGAAAGTTGTGGTCTAAACAACACTGGACTACACTGATTTTCATTTCATTTTATTTTTCACAGTATATCTTCTGGTTACATTTTTTAAGGTGATGCCGTTACAGTGTAATTACACAATTAAGTACTGAGTAACACTAATTAAATGTATCTACAGCCCTTACTTTATATTGAGTGTCCTTAACTATGTCCTTACATTTAAATTAATCATTTGATACAATGCGCTTATTGTGTACATACATGTTTTTACATTGTACTTATTTGAAAACACTGTCCTGCAATTACATCTGTAATTAATTTCTGTAGTTACATCTATAATTACACTGTTGACCCTAACCAAACCACCAAACCTGCCCCTAACTTATTTTTAACTTACATATTTTTTTCTCAGCAAATATTTATATCTTATTTTTTTGTGACTAATTAGATTAATTAATGAGCAAATCATGTAATTATTTAGATAACAAGAATAAGCCCTAATTGTTATTCAATATATTACAATACAACATATCCACTCCCTGGAAAATGAATTGAAAATCATTATTAAGCATGATTTACAATTACTTTAATCTACAATGTTATTTTAAACACTTTTGGAGATTTGTAACATTTAAAATGTAACCCTGAAAAGTTATAACTGAAGCTGAAATGAGTGAGCTTGATGCATGAAAACAAACCTCATTGGCTTTCACATCAAGCGTGCATGTTTGATTTTCTGTTTACCATATTTCATGTGCGAAAGATAAAATGAAAAAGGCAAAAATGTAACTAGTACTTTTCAAGTTGAAATAGAATTGTAAAATAAAAATAAAAAAATTAAATTGTTTTTCAGAAATGTAATCAAGTAAAAGTACAAGTAGTCAGTGTAAATTGTACTTGAATGAAGTACAAATCCCCAAAAATAATACTCAAGTACAGTAATTAAGTAAATTACTCAAGAATTTTATACCCCTGGGTTTAGGGTTAATCAAAAATTAAGTTTTAGTATATTTACAGTAGGAAATTTACAGAATATTTTCATGGAACATGATCTTTACTTAATATCCTAATGATTTTTGGCATAAAAGAAAAATCTATAATTTTGACCCACACAATGTATTTTTGGCTATTGCTACAAATATACCCCAGCGACTTAAGACTGGTTTTGTGCTCCAGGGTCACAAATTACGTCATGTTAAAGTAAAGTATTACCTTTCTTTTTTTGTGCTCTGCAGATGAAAGAAAGTCATACAGGTCTGGAATTACATGATGGATTTCAATTTTTTGGGTGAACTATCCCTTTCTGCTGCCATTTACAAGGAAAGCATTCTTAAATGTAAAATTGAAAAGGTTTTTCTTGATATAAAACACATCTCTTCCATCTTTATTTGACCCTCTAACTCTAGCACTCTCTATTCTAATTCTATTCTTAAAAAATAAATAAAAAAATCACATGTCCCTTTTAGACTTGCACTCTATTAATTTGCTTGTTTTCTTTAAAAAAAAAAAACTAACACTTGCTTTCTAATCTTTTTGTATTCTATCTGTTTTCTTTTCATTTATTATACAATTAACAAAAGCAAAAAAGACCTCTAACACTAGCCTGCTCTATTCTTTTTCTTTTGATCTTTTGTTGATTTTGATTGCTTCCATTGTCCTAATTTGTAAGTCGCTTTGGATAAAAGCATCTGCTAAATGACTAAATGTAAATGTGTATATATATCTTCAAATGGCCAAACTGTCAACCCAACAGGGAATATTCTCAGAACTTCAGCTTTCAGAACTTTCTGGCAAGGTTTTCCTAGAGTTCTTCCAGTCATATTAATAGAATGTTTGTTCCAAGTTATCTAGCCTTTTATAGTGTTCTCAGAAATGTTCTTTATACATTGTTCATGGAATTTTTTTTTCTTTCTCCTGGAACATTTTAGTTTTATCCTTGACCTGTTATAGCTCCAAAGTACATATGGTGCTCAAGCACGAGGCACTGAAAAAGATGCAAGACTCAACGCAACTGTCAAAGATGTCCATCTAGTGCATTTTTTACCTAGAAAATCTAAAAAGCAGCATAGTGAAACACACACACACACAAATGTTGAATGTGACAGTCTAATGCTCTAATAGGTCAACTAATGCTCTGTAGGTCTGGTGCAGTAATTTGACCCATTTGTTAATGTCCCTGAAAATCCAGCATGGACGTGAATAGCGGGATGTGATTGTAAAGCAGAACTGCATGTGAACAGAAGCTTTTCAAGTGACTGTTTGAGTTTATTGTTGTTTAAATACTTCTCTCAGTACAGACTCTGTGTACTATTTCAGTCTGGAAAGAACTTTTCAGAGTATTGACAGTTCCACAGAGTCATGTGGCCAAAACCTTGCTGGACACAATATCATTACATAACACTGTGGCAGCACATTAAAGCACGGGCATTGTGTTTCTCTCTTAAGAAGAGGAAACGTCTATGAAATAGGTTAAGAGAGGAATAAATGTGTCTGTTTTTGTAACTAACATTCTGCTTTATGAATCAGTGTTATTTGTTCTGTAAATAGGTGCATACAAATGTGTTACTAGGAACTGAGAGTTTAATTTAGCAGCTTTAATCCTTGTTTAGCTAAATCACACAGACATGAACTTTTCTAAACCAATTAGAGTCTTTTAAAGTATACAAAGTGTATACTCAATGAACCTCTAATCTCTCTCGCAGAGTGAAACACCCAGAATGACTGGAGGTCTTTTCACTCAATAATTGGGGGCCTTGAGTGAGAGAGGGACACTAGCACACTTTTCGAACAAAAGCACGACTGACAACATACAATGCAAATCACTCAGCCAGGCCCATGAGAAACATTTGATCTGTTATTTCATGGGATTTAGAATAAGTGATGGGAAACATTCATCCACACACACACACACACACACACACACACACACAATCTGGCCTTTACAAGAATGAAATGTTTACATTCATGCAATTACCAATAAATAGGGTAGTAGCTGCTTGTGTTATTATATCAAATGATTATGTTAAATGTTGTCACTACGTTAACTTTTAGCATTTTATAAAAAGAGAAACATATTTCATCACATCTGATTCAAAACATCATCTGATGTAAAGGTGAAAACCATAAGGAGATAAACCGGTTACTCTAAATAAATAAATAAATGCTTTACAAAAATGATTGTAGAAAACATAATACATTAAAAAAAAAACAGCAAATTAAATGTACAGAACAAATATGTTCAGTAATAATAATATTAAGCTTAAAGGAATGGATTGTTAATTCCCTTCCAAATTCTGTCATCATAGAAACATCATAGGGTTTCTATGGGTCTTAAAAAGACTTCATTCACCCTTCCACAAATTAAGGCCTTAAAAAGGTCTTAAATTGGAGCAGAAAGCCATTAATTCTTTTGGTCACAGAGTCACAACATTAAATGTTCCTTTCACAGCACAAATGAATATCTTCCTCAGTTTTTCTGTCTTGTTTTCCAATACAAATATCTAAAAAGTATTCTTATATGAAGATAAATTTACTTGACATGCAAAATGAAGAAGTTTTCTTTCCTGAGACATTTAAAGGGGTCATATGATGCGATTTCATTTTTTCCTTTCTCTTTGGAGTGTTACAAGCTCTTGGTGCATAAAGAAGATCTGTAAATTTGCAAAGACATAAACACATTTCATTACACCAAATACACAAAATAATGTTCTTTTTAGCAACATCATATGACCCCTTTAACAAAATTGAGTTTATACTTTTAAACAAGAAAAAGATATATCCATCAATGAGGTATGACAACTTGTTTTCCCCTTTGAATTCAGTGTATTTTTCTGACCCCATTGGCAGATATTTGTTCTTGTTTTAATCAAACCACAGTTTCTCAGAAAATGTTGCATCTCAGTGTATTTTGTTTGAAGAATCTTTAGACATTCGCAATGGAAAACAAGACAAAAATACTGAGCAAAAACATCGCTTTTAGCAGTGTGATCAGAATGTACTTTAAAAAGTTTTTTTCCATATGCTACTGATTTTTTTTTTTTATTATTTACAAAAATTATGGAGATCTGTTGAAGGCTGTATTTTCAAACTTTGAAGTGTTGCTAATAGAACCCCTTGTCAGCTCTTTAGACATTTACATTTGCAGAATTTTATCATATTGTGGTCCCTTGAATTTTCTCTACATGCCCTCTTCATCTACTGACTAATGTAACAGCAACGGCTCAATCCCATCCTTCACTGAAGCGTGCTGCCCTACTATATTAAAAATCGAGCTACATTTTAGGTCGGTCTCTAAATGCTAAAGCTCACACAGTGCTATCATCACATGCAGTAAAGCTTACTTGGGCCCAGCAACAGCGACAACACATCACTTCCCCAGATCCGGCTGTCAGAGGAAATCTCCAAGTCCAGTGGCTGTCAGAGATCAATCGTACAGTAGAATAAACAGATTGGTAATGATGGGGAAAGGCTTCCTATCAAACCTTTGTAGCATCCCTCAAAGATGGTAAACATATTCTGGTGAGAAGAGCAGGTGCTGCACTTCAGGTGTGCTCTGAAAAGGCTTTCTTTTTTTGTTAAGCTGATTATGAGTTGAGGAGGAGGTAGAAAACCCATCGAGGAAGAGAAAGCCACGTAGTAACAGACTAACAGTGTAGTAGTGTTTGTCATCGGTAAACCTATTAAGAGATAAAAATAGTTACGAGAAAGCTTTTGATTAGAGATAGAACCCTTTTGAACCCATAAACAACATCTGTTTGCCTAAAAGTGAGGCTGTGTAATTTTGCATGTTTTTTTATTATTAAATGAAAAACATTGTCACAACTTCATCCTTATGACTGTAATAAAATCAACAATTCACACAACATTAATTTTTTATTTACATTTCTCTGAAACGCTCTAAAAATATTCATATGCCTGCATATAAATCATAGAATAATTTTAACTTTCAGATGAATCTCTTTTACTGGGATTCTGCTTTGTCTGTCACCGGTTATTCAATTAGTCAAATAAAATTTTAAATAGAATAGTTAATTTAGTATTTTACATTAATGACACTTTAAAAATATGAAAATATTAATAAGAATGATATTAAAAGTCGTCTTATCCCTCTTTTAATATTTTTAATTTTGTGCTATAACACGTAAATTAGGAAGTATTCACATTGGCTGATGCATCATATTGCGCATGCTTTGTATCTAAATATGTTATAGCTTAAAAGTACATTTTATGTGTTGTTATAACTATTACTATTATTATTAATTTTAGTTTTTTAACACGTGACCTCTATGGTGTGTTACATGAATCTCAGTCCGGGTGTTTCCATCACCGTTTTGCGTTCCGGCTGCGTAAAGCAAGCAAGCATGGCGGCCGAGGGAGATGTGGATCTGGACCTGGAGGCTGAGGAGAACTGCACGGGAAAACCAACAGAAAAACCCCGAAAACATGATAGTGGAGCTGCTGATTTGGAAAGGGTTACTGACTATGCGGAGGAAAAAGAAATTTCCAGCTCGAATTTGGAAACGGTGAGTTAATATACGTTTCAGACGCGAATGAAGCTAGTCATGCTAACGCTGAGTAACCATGTGCGTGCGGACAGTAGATTTCTGTGTTAACACTCAAATAAACTATGTAGCGTCCTCTAAAATCACAATATTACTTACTACGCCATCATAACGTTTTAATAGTGTGATGTTTAAGCAGTGGACTGATCAGCCGGCTTGGTTAGCTAAGTGAGCACTGAAGAGAAAAGTGAGATTAAGCTCTCAATATGTTCATTTACGTAGCCACCTAACCTTTATAGGAGATGCTGAAGCCCGAGAACTTTTGCCTATGAACGCTGTCATTTCAGAGTACATTTACCTATGAATGCTATTGTTTGAATTTTTATCCGTCATGTGATGTCTTTTGAAGGCCATGTCCGTGATTGGAGACAGAAGATCCAGAGAACAAAAAGCAAAACAGGAAAGGTGAAAAATATTGCTTGATTACAATCATCAGCTATATGTCTGTGGTTAGTAAATGACCGTCACGACAATACTCATCTCTGTCACTTCCACAGAGAAAAAGAACTAGCCAAAGTAACAATAAAGAAGGAAGATGTGGAGCTCATCGTAAGTATACAAAAGTGTATTTTCATGCTAGATTAATGTGTGTATAATTTAGATTCATACATATTTTTATTTTGACATGGAACTCAATGATTATGCTGACAGATGGGAGAGATGGAGATTTCGCGAGCAGTGGCGGAGCGCAGTCTGAGAGAACACATGGGCAATGTGGTGGAGGCGTTGATTGCACTGACCAACTGAGTGGATTTGACTGCTTCGAGATGTATGGACACATTGGACTGCCTTTTTCCTGCTTGTGATGACCCTTTCCTTTTCACACTGTACTTATTCTGTAATAAAGGAACCTTTTTTAAACCGTCTTTACCAGTACAACTTACCCGACCCTCTTTTTAGTAATGCATTCCGGATGAACCAATGCAATCAGTCTCATAGCAATTTATTACCACAAAACAAAAAGTCGATTTTCTTCCCATTACAAACAGTGGAACTAGCCTTAGAATCCTGTATACAAAATGAAATGTTGTGTAGATGTATACAATTCAAATGCAATAAAGATTTCATGTCTTTATGAGATTTCTTTATCACTAGCAGAACAAAGGTGATGGAGGGGAAAAAGAAGTTTAAAAGTGTCCTTGTTTGAGCTGAATTTGCTCTTCTACCATAAATAAGATTATGTCTTCCTCTTGTGCACTGTTGGCCGATCGAACACGTCTCTCACGCCCCCTGCCTTCTGTTTGAAGAACTTGCTGTTCTGAGCGCTCTCCTGAGCCCAGGCAGAATCGAATGAAGTGGTGTCCTGATCCACCAGATGCGTGTATTTTGTACGTCCGGAACGTCCAAAGTTTTTGACCTACAAAAGCACATTGAATAATTAGTCATATTAGTGTTACACATGGATGCTAGAATACTACAATTATGTACCCCTAAGGTGAAGGAGTAAATTTGCTAGAATGGGTTCTCAACTCCACTTTCCTCAATCATGGCCATGAATTTGTTTCCCCAAAATATTTAAACATTTGCCACTATTTTCTAAAACAAGTTCTTAATTAATGGCCTTGAAAAAGAAAAGCATGCAATGAAAATTCTGCTTCCATCTAATCAACAACCCATATATTGAACCATACACCCCTCCTACATTTTTTTTTTGCAGAATTACATCATAAAACAGAAGCAAGGATCTGTGGCGAAGTCTTTCATGCGACTTTGAGCAATCAAATCTGATTTTAGTCTCAAAAGGCAATTTCCAAAATGTGATTGAGTGTTTAACATTGTAAGCTTTGAAAAACAAACCCAAAAACCCCAAAAATAAACTGCTTTGAAGAATTAAACTGTACAACTCGGTAGGGGTGGGTGATGCACCGGTGGACACGAGCGAAAGATCTCATTTCACAATATGCGAACTTTTGTCTGAGAGACTGCGAGTTTCTGAGCGGTGTCTGAGAGGCGCGCACACATGAAGACGGTACTCACAGAGCGCAGGAGTATTGAATATTTTTGACGCTTTATAGGCCTTGAACGGTTAAATACACACACTCGTATGTGTCAAAATGCCCATCTTTGCAAGTGAAAGGAAACCGCTGAGAAAGAAAACGTGTAACAGTGTATTGGATCCAGGCAGCTCTTAAAGTGACAGCAGTCTAATATTCCTGCTGTCTGTAATTCATGTTAATCAAACAACAAAAGAGAGAAAATCTCTCACTACTCTTGAATAAATAATTTTTATAACTTTAAGAAGAAATATTAACAGTGAAGAATATGCAGCTTTCATACATTTGCTTACTTTATACAATGTATGTAGCATTTCTTATTTCTTCCACTGTAGTTTTTTTTTTTGTCCTACTGCTTGTAATTCGTTTTTTATTTAAAGTAAAAAGACAGTATAAGTCATTATAATCCGTAATTATGTCCCCACTGGATGCAACAAATGCCTTGTTTATAATTGGTTTGAATGTTTTTGTCTCATCTCTCCGGCCAGACAGGGCATCACAATATGGCAAGGGGCGTAACATTTCCGTCATACGCTTGAGGTATTCAGCCAATCACAACGCATTGGATAGCTGGCCAATCAGAGCACACCTCACTTTTCAGACCGATGAGTTTTGTAAAAATCGACGCGTTTCAGAAAGGCGGGGCATAGAGGAGAAACAATAATGTACAGTATGTGGAAAATTATGTGTTTTTTAGCTTTAAACCGCATAAACACTTCATTACACCAAATACACAATTTTTTTTTATTTTTAGCAGCATCATATGACCCCTTTAATCACTGACTGCTAACTTGTTTTCAGTGAGCTTGAGTTTTCTATTTTTTTAAATTTAGGCTAGTATTAGTTTTTTTTGTAGCATTGACACTGGTGACAAAAATTATGACATTTCTACGATATCAGAATTTTGATATTATAAAGACCTTATTTAAAGCAAAAATAACTATATCGTGATATATATTGTTACCATGAAATAAAATTACTCATATCGTGACATAAGATTTTGGTCATATTGCCAACCCCTACAACTCGGCTAGAAAATGGCATCGATGTCGAAACCAGTATGATGAATTCAAATAGATGGCACTGACCTGCATGACTTTAGGTAAGATTGTTTTGTTGAAATGGTCCTCAAGAGTTGGAGCACTGAAGTCTCTCCTGAAGACATCTTGCTCGTCATCCTGCAGAAAAGATAAAACTTATATTTGACATCAAGAACAGATTGTGATCAGGTAATGATGATCTGCCCATTACTCACCATGAAGAAAGCTCCTCTGTGATAGTACTTCTGCAGAAACTTGTATTTGCCCTTTGTTGCTTTGTTGGTGACGACTTTTCCATTTGTCCGCAGTTCTGCTCTTCGCTCTTCCTCAGTAAGAGTGCGAAACCTCTCGATTTCTGCTTTCTCTTTCTCTATTCTGTAATGTAAGAAAAAGCCATGTGGGATTATCATTTGTGTTACTAGTGTGAAACAAAACAGTGTTTGCAAAGATGATGAGTACTCACGCTTCTCTGTCTTCTCTGTCCCTCTTAATACGCTTCAGTTCCCTCACTTTCCAGGCCTCATACTCCTCCTCCTCATTTTCTCCATCGGTGTCCAGAGCATCAAGAGCAGCCAGAGTACGTTTGTTCTCCTCATACTCTTTCTTGGCCTCTTCCTCTACGATCTTCAGTGTGTATCGCCGCCTCTCTTCAGCCTGTTTTTTGGCCTCGATTTCCAGCTCTTTCTGTCTCTGCTCCTCTGCTTCTCGTTCTGCAACTGTCACTCTGTCCTTCCTGGGAAATCATATTGATGAGAAATTATATAAATTGCAGTGCTTATCAGTGCTATTTTAGTATAATTTATTTTTTAAATTTCAGTTCGCATTTTAATATTTAGTACCAAACAGTTGCTGGTAGCCATTCCCACATGAAAAAAATACTGTAGTAATTTATAGTAAATACTATAGTGTTTTTGAACCATACTATAGTAAAATACTTGAATTAATTTGTAATATAACAACTATAGTAATATAAACAAATTACTTTCCCAATACTGTACTAAGTTTAATACAACTATAGGGTATATTATACTACAATATACTACAGTTTACTGTAGTAAAAACTAAAGTATACTACAGTATTACAGTTTATCAGTTCACTATACAGTATGCTGTAGCAATCATTAACAAAGTGTTGTAAATTCTATAATCAGTGAACTACGGCTGTGTGTAGTAAATTCTGCTCCATCTGAAAGCACGTGGTGATGATTTCCTGCTGATTACAGAACCGGCTTTACTAACAAAATGCGCATGACAATCGCATTCGATTAATCGTGCAGCCCTAGTATTTAGTATAAATTACTACAGTATTTTTTCATGTGGGTTGACTTCTCCATAGTATAGAAAAAAATATGATGGAAGTCAGTAGCTAGCTACCAGCAACTGCTTTGTCAACCATCATCATTCTTCAAAATAGCTTCTTTTCTGTTTAGCGGAAGAAAAAAAAATTAATACAGAATTGGAACAAATGAACAAAATTCATTTTTGGATGAACTGTCGAGTAATTTATAGTAAATACTATAGTGTTTTTGAACCATACTATAGTAAAATACTTGAATTAATTTGTAATATAACAACTATAGTAATATAAACAAATTACTTTCCCAATACTGTACTAAGTTTAATACAACTATAGGGTATATTATACTACAATCACTACAGTTTACGTAGTAAAAACTAAAGTATACTACAGTATTACAGTTTATCAGTTCACTATACAGTATGCTGTAGCAATCATTAACAAAGTGTTGTAAATTCTATAATATATACAGTATAATACACTTTACTGTACTATGGGTTCAAAACACTATAGTATTTACTAGGGCTGCACGATAAATCGCAATGGAATCGAGATCGCTATTCGACAGAAGCTGCGATTGTCATGCGTATCTTTCAGTGAAGCACGGTTCTGTGATCAGCAGTAAATCTCCGTCCAAAGGCCAGAGGGCGCTCTCGCGCTGAAACTCCAAATAGCCTGGCAGAAGAAACCCAGGAAATGCCTATGGCTGCAGCTGAATAAACAGAAGATTCAACTGCTTTCATTGATTCAACGTGACTAATACCCCCCTCCCCGAGCACTGTGAGAAGCTTTCAGGACGTTGTCATTTTACTATTTTTCGAAATTTAATAACCACTGTGGTGGTTTATTATTGCAAAGTTACCAAGTATTGTAGTCATACAGTTTTACTGAAGAAAAATGAACTGTAACTGTTACATAGTAACAGTTTCCCCCCCATATTGTTTCTACAGAAAACTGTTTGTACAGTAACTATGTGAAAACTACACACGTACATCTATCAGTTTAACTAGAGGGGATTTGTCTTAAGACCAAGAATTTTATGTTTTTATTACTGCATGATATTGCACACTCGCACGAATCACGATGTCAACACATGCTAACAGTCAAGTAACTAAGTGTTTCTCAAACGAATACCTTTTTCATTGCGGATCGGCACGGCTCCTGCCGTCGACTGAATCGGCGGCTGCTTGGCATTTAATGCGTTTGCTCCTGACATTTTGGAGAATTCACGAGGGTTCCTTTACACTAGAAAACAACACAATCGCTGAAAGTCTTCGTAAAAATCCTGTTTACAGTCCTTTATCCACTAACATGGACGTCCCGGAAATTGTACGCCAATAGGGAACCGCACGAAAACTCGTCCCCGGAAACACTGACCTGTTAAGTAGTTCCTACCTTTAATTGCACTTTTATAATTCAACAGATTATTGATTTGTCCTGTCCTTCCCTTTTGGTGAGAAGTTGTCAGCGGAATAACAGTAATCAGGTAAAAGAGCCATATATTCTAAAATCATTACTATTATTATGAAAACAACATGTTTTCTACACTTCCTAAAATCATAAATTAATATTTATGTCCCCATTTTCACTCAAATTAATATCCTATCTCCTTCAAGTGTTCAGTGTTTGCTCTCAGAATCATAATTTTACTTTTATTTTGTCATTTAATAGCTGTGGTTTATTTCACACAGTTACAGTACCAAGACAATTCGTGTAATCTCTTACAGTTTTACTGTAAACTAAACTATGGATACAACATGATACATCTTGGTAATAAAGCATTATCTTTTATATTTTATTATTCATATTGATCCATTGAAGAATATTAATACACCACAACATTTGTCACATTTAACAAAACTTTAATTTCATTTCATATCTGTGCAAGTATTATACACTTACATTCGTATTATTAAAAAAAATATTTAAATAAAAAAAATCTTAATACTAAAGCTGACTCAAAAATTCAAATGCATTCGTCATTCAACCTGATGTTGTTCTGTATGACTTTATAAAGCGGAACACAAAAGAAAATGTCGAGGAAATCTTCATCAACATCTCCTCTTGTGCTCCACAGAGGAAAGAAAGTCAAAACAGGTTTGGAACGACTACAGAGAGGGCCGAACTGTCCCTTTAGGGTAAAGAAAAAAAAAAAAAAAGCTCCATAATTTCCACCAGTGGCTTGTGACATCATCATAACTCCACTCCTCTCTCCAAAAAGAGCTGCTGCAGTTTCTGCTCGAGAGCTGCATTGGTGCCACGGAGCCCTTTTGCCACCCGAGACGCCCTCCCCCCCATATTGTTTATACAGAAAACTGTTTGTACAGTAACTATGTGAAAACTACACACGTACATCTATCAGTTTAAAAAGAGGGGATTTGTCTTAAGACCAAGAATTTTATATTTTATTACTGCATGATATTGCACACTCGCACGAATCACGATGTCAACACATGCTAACAGTCAAGTAACTAAGTGTTTCTCAAACGAATACCTTTTTCATTGCGGATCGGCACGGCTCCTGCCGTCGACTGAATCGGCGGCTGCTTGGCATTTAATGCGTTTGCTCCTGACATTTTGGAGAATTCACGAGGGTTCCTTTACACTAGAAAACAACACAATCGCTGAAAGTCTTCGTAAAAATCCTGTTTACAGTCCTTTATCCACTAACATGGACGTCCCGGAAATTGTACGCCAATAGGGAACCGCACGAAAACTCGTCCCCGGAAACACTGACCTGTTAAGTAGTTCCTACCTTTAATTGCACTTTTATAATTCAACAGATTATTGATTTGTCCTGTCCTTCCCTTTTGGTGAGAAGTTGTCAGCGGAATAACAGTAATCAGGTAAAAGAGCCATATATTCTAAAATCATTACTATTATTATGAAAACAACATGTTTTCTACACTTCCTAAAATCATAAATTAATATTTATGTCCCCATTTTCACTCAAATTAATATCCTATCTCCTTCAAGTGTTCAGTGTTTGCTCTCAGAATCATAATTTTACTTTTATTTTGTCATTTAATAGCTGTGGTTTATTTCACACAGTTACAGTACCAAGACAATTCGTGTAATCTCTTACAGTTTTACTGTAAACTAAACTATGGATACAACATGATACATCTTGGTAATAAAGCATTATCTTTTATATTTTATTATTCATATTGATCCATTGAAGAATATTAATACACCACAACATTTGTCACATTTAACAAAACTTTAATTTCATTTCATATCTGTGCAAGTATTATACACTTACATTCGTATTATTAAAAAAAATATTTAAATAAAAAAAATCTTAATACTAAAGCTGACTCAAAAATTCAAATGCATTCGTCATTCAACCTGATGTTGTTCTGTATGACTTTATAAAGCGGAACACAAAAGAAAATGTCGAGGAAATCTTCATCAACATCTCCTCTTGTGCTCCACAGAGGAAAGAAAGTCAAAACAGGTTTGGAACGACTACAGAGAGGGCCGAACTGTCCCTTTAGGGTAAAGAAAAAAAAAAAAAAAGCTCCATAATTTCCACCAGTGGCTTGTGACATCATCATAACTCCACTCCTCTCTCCAAAAAGAGCTGCTGCAGTTTCTGCTCGAGAGCTGCATTGGTGCCACGGAGCCCTTTTGCCACCCGAGACGCCCACACGAAGTATTCTTGAACCCTTTCTGCTGTCCAACCTGTCAACACAGATGCAAGACAGCAGTCTTACACAAGCAGTATAATTACGGGCTGGAAATGTATTTGTCTCCGGAGCAGCAGTTTTAATGTCTCACCTGTGGGAGTGCAACGATTGAGGTCCCGCAAATTATACAACTTGTCTGCTAGTTTCACTAGCTTGGCCTGATGGCTGCGGTGTGGTGCGTGCTCCACTTGCAGCCGTTTTCTCTCTTCTTTTGGTAACGACCCGTCATCTGTAACCTCCTGGACGATTCTCGCCACTGTCGGTCCAAACATAGACTCCAGCTCATCAAAGGTTGTATCAGTGTCCTCTACTGTGTCATGAAGCAATGCAGCCTGCATCACAAGAGCATACAGTTCAATCAATGCATTTGCGAAATTCCTTTAGCCTCTGTAATAAATCAATGCACGGCTCTTTAAATAAAACTAGTTATTTCTCCAAGAATTAAGCATTTTTAGTGTACAAACTGATCAAAGTAACGCACAAACATATCTCTGACTCACTTGTAAAACTTCAAGATCTGTGATTCCACCCTCATAACTTAAAATCCTTGCCACCCCTGCAAAGACGAGAAAAGCAGCTGTATTTTCTGGAGTCTGTCGGATTCTATATGCTTCGTCTTTGTAGTGAAGTGCTCTGGTACAGTACCTATGGGGTGATTGATGTATGGTGTGGCATCAGGATCTTTACGGCGCTGATTTCGATGTTTCTCTGCAGCGAAGTTGACCGTTTCCAGCAGCACTGCAGTCGACGAAGAGCTCATAGCTACTTTAGTAGAATACGATAATGCACAGTCTGATTATGCTTTTATAATAGTTCGGACTGATTTGTTAATGTACAACACAAAGCATGCAAGTCAATCATATAAATTAAAAATAAGGGCAATGTTACATTATATATCGATGTTGTTTGTAAGTCTGTTTTTGTGTCCGCAATTAAGATGTCCGTAGTGAAACAAGCGTAGCGCTATTTCGATTCGTGAAAGAATTGTTCTTTTGAGTTGGATCTTTTCAATGAATCAGTTCACGGTTTGAAATGAAATGAATAACAGCAATGCCAACAGTACACAAATGTTAACATGGTATTATACCTTTTCATCAACAAGCATATGAAACTATGAAGTATACTTCTGTTAGAGCGTGCAAAAAGTGAGGAATTAGTATGGTTATTGTTGCAAATGACTTGTTTTTCATGATGAATTATGGTTGCAACAAAATGAACCGATTGTATTAAATGACAATAAACACGTGCATTAATAGAAAGACGTAGTAAATATCGATATGTGCCTACGTTTCAGAATCTTTAATGCCACATTGGCACCAAAAACTACGGAAGACGCAAAAGAATCACTGAGTTGGTTTTGCTGTTCAAAAGAACCGATTTGCGGAAATGATTCGGACTGTCAGATAGATAGCGAAACCACTTCCGGAAAAAGGTGGACGAGGTATGAGACGAATTTACTGCTTTTTGTATACATGCTGATTAAATGAATTCCCATAACTACATTTATGTTATTTTTGTAGATAACTTGGGATGTGTAATTGGACGTTACGCTATGTTGATAAACTGTGAAAATAAAAGAAAACTAGCTTCAATGACATTCGCAAAATTCAGACAGAAGCTGCAGTAATCGAGTGATATTTGTCATTCTGCATATGCAGCTTCCACAGATCTGAGTGACAGTAATGTTACAGAGAAATGGTTTACAGATATATCCAGCATCGGACAGAGTGGTGGGATCTCTCCATATGGCACACACAGAGAGGAGAGATGCTCCTGGGCTGCCTGATTTCTCCCTGCTCAAAAGACTGGCCAGAGACCAGCTCATCTTCCTGCTGGAGCAGGTGACATGACCATCCACTGTTTCTTCAGAAAAGTACTTTGCATTTTGAATTTGTTTTGTAAATGTCAACATGTATGTTTTTGCAGTTGCCAGGGAAGAAGGATTTATTTATTGATGCAGATTTGATGAGCCCTCTTGATCGAATAGCAAATGTCACAATCCTGAAGGTATGATATCATGTAATACATTTTAGGAAAAAGCATTGGCACACTGTCTTTCTAAATGACTAGCATTTTATATCTTCTTGAAATATTATTAATATAGAAATATGTATTCACACCCTAACGAGTCTACACCTGATTTCACCTTTAGCAACATGAAGTCGACAAACTGTACAAAGTTGAGCTGAAGCCAATTGTCAGCAGTTCAGACCAGTAAGTAAACTAGTAAGTTTTTATCAATTAAAAACTGTAATTCCTCGGTAAAATGTAGGCGACATATCTTTTTCGCAGGCTGTGCTTCCTGATACGTCCCAGAATACAAACTGTGAAGTGGATTTCAGGTTGGCATGGTTTGCTGTTACGTAGTGATTTATAATCTAGAAGGAAGTATAGTTTAATAGTTTGTCTTAATAATGTTTACAGATTTGGTTAATTCAGACAAAGTGGCTGGAAGATTCAGAAGATATAAGATCATATTTACCCCCCAAAAGGTAACTAGAGGTCTGGAAATTGTGTTAAAATATGCAGCATTTTTATTTTGTTGTGTGATTTTGATGTTATGGCATTCTTTACAGTTTTATGCATGTGAGACGGTTTTGGAAGAGCAGGGAGTCTATGGAGGTAGGTTAAGTGTGTTAATGTTTCAATCTTTGGTCCTGGGCCTCCTAATGCAGACATTAACTATGACGTTTTTTCTTAGATGTTACAACCGATGAGTGGAATTTCTACATTCTTCCTCTGGATGACGACATCCTGAGTTTAGAGCTGCCTGAATTCTTCAGAGATAACTTTCTGGTAATTTGGATGCTACAGTGCTTTAGGGCTGAAAAAAAGGTTTTAATTTGGCATGTTTGATTAGTTTTAGTAAGATTTTTAGTATGTGTTCTTGTTATCAAGAAGGAATGTCACATGAATCTTCAGAAGTCATTCTAATATTGTGAATTTTTTTGGTGTTTAACATTACTTCTTATTTTTAATATTGCTGCTTGATATTTTTGTGAAAACTGTGATCATATTTTTCAGTGTGAGTAGAAATTTGAAAAGAATTTATTTGATAAAAGAAATCTATTTCTAACATAAATCTCTTTACTGACTGTAGATTATTTCATTAAAAGTATCAATTTCTTAAAATAAATCACACTGACCTGGGACTTTTGAATAGTAGTGTAATTTTTTAAATGTGGGATTGACATAGGAGTAATTGTGATATGATTCATCAGGAGGGAGATCAGCGCTGGGTGACCACTGCAGGAAGTGCACTACATCTTTTACAGTCTGTCTATGGTTCTTTCTCCAAAGTGTATGGGATCGGTAGATGTGCCAAGGTGAGGATTTGTGACAAAACCCTTTCTATCATAGATTTACAGATTTTGGTGGAGGAGAATCAAGGCAGTCTTTCATGTCATTTGTCTGTGTATGTAGATGGTGTATGAATCCTGGAGGGAGCTCATGGAGGAGGGGGAACAGAGAACAAGACAACCTGAATTTGCAAAAGTATTTCTTATTGACAGAGGTCAGTTATTTAAAAATAAATTACATTTACATTTAGATGTACTCTTACAGTCTTTTTCTGTTGTAATAAGAGCTGGCATAACTTGTATTTTAATATTTTAGATGTGGACTTTGTTACTCCACTCTGCTCTCAAGTTGTTTATGAGGGATTGGTAGATGATATTTTCAGAATAAAATGTGGTAAGCAATTATATATTACAGGCTCTTTGTCTTAATTGTTTAAAACATGTTTATGTCTATCTATATAATGGGTTAATTATGTTCAAGTTCATCCTTTTTATGTCATTTTGATTTTGCTTCTAGGCAGTGTGGAGTTTGGACCTGATGTCACTTCCTCTGACAAGAGCATCAAAGTGATGCTTAACTCTCAAGATAAAGTAAGAGCTACATAGACTTGATTACATTGACAGTGGTTAGTAGCTACTATTTTAAAAATGACCCTGCTGCTTGTTTAATTCATCAGGTGTTCGATGAAATAAGGAACGAGCATTTCTCCAATGTGTTTGGCTTTTTAAGTCAGAAGGCCAAAAATCTTCAAACAGCATATGATGTAAGTGCTTGCTACAGATGGCATGTGCTTCATACATAGCACATTAGGATACATTTTAGCATATTCTCCATGTGACAGCAATCAAAAATATGTGAGTTGGTAACAGAAACGGCGTGGGATGGACATCCAGCAGATGAAGGCATTTGTTGCAGATGAACTGAAAGGACTGAAACAGGAACATCGTCTTCTCAGTCTTCGTAAGTAGTGTATACACTATGGTTTGAAAGTTTGCGGTCAGCAAGGACGCATTAAATTAATCAGAAGTGTCAGTAATAACATGTATACTGTTACAAAAGATTTCTGTTTTAAAAAATGCTGCTCCTTTGTACTTTCAATTCATCAAAAATCCTGACAATCATGGTTTCCACTAAAAAATTGTTGATTTTTTGAGCATATTTTGATTTCTGAAGGATCAAGCAACACCGAAGACCGGAATAATAGCTGCTGAAAATTCAGCTTTGACATCACAGGAATAAATGAAAGCAATAAGCCCCAAGAAGCCGTGGTTTACAGTGAATTTCAGCGAAGCGGAGTGCCTAAAACCCCCTTAGCTCTTATAAATTCACTGTAAACCACGGCTTCACGGGGCTTATTGTTTTTATAAAACGGTTATTGTGTTATTCACAAAACAAAACCGAGCAAATAAAGTGTAATTATATTAATAAAAACATTATTCTTCCGCCAAACAATGTAGTTCCTCAGAATCGGTTGTGGTTGCAACAAAGTGGTTGCCAAGCAACACACAGACGTAAACAAAGGTGTATGTTTGTAGAGAAATTTACAACAGCTTCGTATGTGGCTCAGCCAATCAGAATCAAGGACCGGAACTATCCGTTTTATAATATATAATTTATAAAACTGAACACAGTTTTTTTAAAACAGTAACATACTGTTTTTTTTTACTGTACTTTTTGAATAAATATAGACTTGATAAGTGTAAGAAACGTCTTTCAAATAATGAAAACAGTTTCTTAATAATAAATATAAGAACTTGCTTTGTTCTTCCACTAGATATTGGTGCAAGTGAATCTATGATGAAGAAGAAAACCAAGCAAGATTTCCAGGAATTGTTGAAGACTGAACATTGTAAGATGTCTTGATAAGTATGAGATCATGCAAATCTGAAATATGAATTCTACAACACGACACTGTAATCTCACCCATTTCTATATTTTCTCCGCTCTTTCCCATATACTAGCATTACTTGAAGGCTTTGAGATCCGTGAATGTATCACCCACATTGAAGAACATATCAACAGACAGGTATGAAAAAACAAACGCTGTTATTGTTATAAGACACTGGTTTGATAATGCTACAGTAATAATAATGCTTGAGGAAACTCTGTCCATCAGGTGTCAATGATTGACAGTCTTAGACTCCTTTGCCTGTTGTCCATCACAGAAAATGGTGAGTCTTGATTAATTCTTGTATATAGATTCCATATCTTAAGCTGTTTATTTGATGAACATCTGTTCAATAATGCATTTAATTCTCCCACAGGTCTTTTGTCCAAAGACTATAAATCTCTTAAAGCTCAGTACCTTCAGGTATGTTATGATCTGAAAGTTCACATTTATGAACTACTCATTTACCTAAAGCTTCATTAAGCCATTTTACTTGATAAGAATGCCTTTAAAACGAGTGTTTAAGTGGATGATCTTAAATTACTGAAACTGTTTTTGAGATTATGTCCTCTGTGATACCATATGTTGTCTCTTGTTCAGAGTTATGGTATAGAGCACCTGCTGACGTTTGCAAACCTGAGGCAGCTGGGTTTGCTGGAAGAACAACAAGCTGGAGAAACACTGACAGTCATGGAGAGTAAAGTGGGGAAACTTGTCACTGACAAGACTGTAGGTGAGAATGTGGACAAGTGCAATCTCTCATGCACTCTCTCTCTCTTCCTCTCTCACTCTCATATTTATTATATATTGACTACAATATACACATACATGCACTGGGGAGTTTCCTATGTTTCCGTTCAGGGAAGCTGACGGATGCCTTTTCCTCACTGGCTAAGAAGAGCAATTTTCGAGCTCTGAGTAAAAGACTAGCTCTGGTTAGCTAACTTTTTTTTTAATTTTTTTTTTAAGAAAAATAAATAAATACTGTTTAAAATTATGATATTTACTTCATGATCATCTAATCTACACATACAGGTACCAAAGTCTGGTGAGGAATATGATCTTCGCGTTCCGCGAGACATGGCATATGTTTTCAGTGGTGCTTATATTCCTCTGAGCTGCAAACTGATCGAACAGGTTAGCTTTCAAAGAAGGCTTTGGCTGCTTAGCCTTTCTTTTTTTTTCTTGTTCTTGCTAAACAACATTTTAAAGTGTTGGCTTCTGGCCTGTGCTGTCCGCAGGTGATGGAGAGAGATGGTTGGACAGGTCTGGAGGAGGTTGCACGCATGCTGAATGGACAGGAATTTGCTGTAACAGGTTTGAACAAAGAATTTGTTTGTATAAAGCTCTTTGTAAGCTGAGTAAACATGTATACTGATACTGATATACTGTAAATATGGTGGTGTAGTATTTCAGAATATATTTATAATTATTTAGAATTTGTAACAAACATTTTTTTACATTTCTTATGCTGAGAAAACTATTATTATTAATAATAATTTTATTTGTTTTTTTTTGCTATCAAGCCTACATTTCCCCCTCTTTTGTCCTGTTTTTGTTTCAGGTGGCTGCAGTAGTTCAGAAGCCAGGAACAAAACTGATGCTCAAAGGATTGTTCTAGTGATGTTTCTTGGTGGCTGCACCTACTCTGAGATCTCTGCACTCCAGTTCCTTGGCAAGGAAAGGGGTAAAATATTCTAGAATGTGTTTTTATAAATACTTATTCCGTACAACAAATGGAATATATGGTTAATATAAAATTGTCCATTTGAAAGGTTGCAGATTCATAGTGGTCACTACAGCCATCACAAACAGTGCACGGCTTCTGGAAGCATTACTGGATAACGGTGCTTCAGTCTGAGAAAACATTCCACAAGAGGACACTTTATGATCATTTCCAGGAGAGGGCAAAAAGACAGAATATGCCCTAATCATCCCGGACATCTATATCATCCCAAAACAAATGTACTATTAGATAGTTTACCCAAAAAGGACAATTCTACCATTTTTTACCCACCCTCATGTGTTTCAAACCTGCATGACTTTCTTTCTTTTGCAGAACATAAAAAAAAAGATATTTTGAAGAATGTTTGTAACCAAACCGCTTAGGTGACCATTGACCTGTATTATATGGGGGGGGGGATAAAACACTGAAATGTTTCTCAAAATATTTTATTTTATTTTTCACAGAAGAAAGAAAGTCGTGCATGTCTGGAACGATATGAGGGTGAGTAAATTAGGACAGGATTGTACTTTTCAGGTGAACTGTCTTGTTAAATGTTTGCGCAGGTGTCATCTGAATTTATGAATGAAGAAAACTGCACTTTATAAAAATTTTGTATACAGTTTGTTAAGAGTTTGTCATGCATGTAATAACTGATTCAAGACTGATCAATAAAACCGTTACTGGTGTCAGGTGTGTGAAACAGTGAAATGGCCCAGTGGTCTAGCTATGTGTATATGTTCAAGTGGAAGTTAAACAGTTTATTTTTTAAATGCACAACAATGCTGCATACAATACGCACACAAATATGTGACCCTGTACCACAAAACCAGTCATGAGTAGCACGGGTATAGTTGTAGCAATAGCCTAGACTGTATGGGTTAAAATTATCGATTTTTCTTTTATGCCAAAAATCATTAGGATATTAAGTAAAGATCATGTTCCATAAAGATATTTTGTAAATTTCCCACCGTAATTATATCAAAACTTAACTTTTGATTCGTAATATGCATTGCTAAGAACTTCATTTGGACAACTTAAAAGGCGATTTTCTTAATATTTAGATTTTTTGCTCACTCAGATTCCAGATTTTCAAATAGTAGTCTCTCGGCCAAATATTGTCCTATCATAACAAACCATACAAAAATGGAAAACGTATTTATTCAGCTTTCAGATGATGTATAAATCTCAGTTCCAAAAAAATGTACCCTTATGACTGGTTTTGTGGTCCAGGGTCACATATGGTACATGTGATACACTTTGTTATGAGACCTATTAGATATGTGCAATATGATCTATTATCTAACATAAAATCAACCTAGCATGAAAAGCAGTTAGTTTTAAACACAAATGTCGGTATGTAAAAAGCTAACAGAAAAATATGCAAGGTAATATAGACATTAAACACAAGATATTTCTTAATTAATAAATGGTAAAATAGACCATTATTATTGCTGCACAATTATTTATTTGTTGCTATACATTATCATAGTACGTTATTCATGGAAAAAATCAGGAGTGGTCGTTTAAAAATGTTTCTGAGGTCATGCTGGAACAATCCGTCTGTTTGACACATCCTCACGCACGCGCAGAAAAGCTCCAAACAGCCAATCAGAGGAGCGCTGCTGTTTTGACGCATATTTTGAATCAGACAGAAACAGTTACGCTCACGATCGGAGTACGAAGACTGTACAGTGAAATATTCCTTTATAAAATACAAATAAACAGCGAAGAGCCTTGTCTTGGGACGAGGATGAGGAAGAGGTGAGTATGTTTGCTGATATGATATAATTTTTGGGTGTTTATCTACGAATGCGGAGACACAGATTTAAGCATGCGCGTCATTTGATCAAAATGTAGTTTGAGTTGTAGCTTGTTTTGAAGATGATAACATTAGCATTGTATTTTAATCCACACACGGCATCATTACATGTCTGAGATTCGTGCAGCGCGTAACGTTGCTGCTATTGACAAATAGCAAGTGTTTTCAGCTCATTTAACTCCAGCTTGTATGAGTGGGTGGGTTGTATAATGTCATAGCAGACATTTTATATAGTGCTTTGTGCATTTAATGAATGAATATATGAAGACGTTTCTTCGCATTTCTAAACACCTGAATGTACAGTAGATAATGATGTAGTAACTTCTGTTAATGTTATTAATGGACGTAGTCACTGGTGGATATCTAGAAGTACACATCTGTTAGAATAGATGTTTATCGACACTGTGTTTTCTATTCTTTCTCTCAATGATTTCAGTGAGTTGATTGCTGCAGAATCGGTGGCATGTCTGAATAAAGCTCTCTGCCATCTAAAGGACATCTGGGAGGAAATTGGCATCCCTGAGGATCAGCGATTAGAAAGGACAAATGTGGTTAAGAATCATGTCAAAGTGAGTGTTGAGTTGTACTTGAGCAACAACTGATGAATCCTAAGAAAGAGTGTTTTCAGTGATAAACTAACAAAACATGTACTTTAGAGTCTTCTGGACATGATGATTGCGGAGGAAGAGAGTCTGTGGAAACGTCTGACGACCAGTATTGAGACATGTCAAAATGAGTTGAGTAAATTGTGTTTGGAACTACAGCTTCCCCCATTTCAGGTAAGTATTTACTCTGGATACAAACTTTAGATAACACCACAAAATAGCTTTAGATAGCAGCACAACTGTTTTCAACATTGATAATAACCAAAATATTTCCTGAGCACCAAATCAGCATATAAGAATGATTTCTAAAGGATCATGTGACACTGAAGACTGGAGTAATGGTTGTTGAAGATTCAGCTTTGTCATCACAGGAATAAATTACATTCCAAAATGTCAATAGAAAAAAAGTTCTTTTAAATTATAATTATTATTTCACAATATAACTGTTTTTACTGTCAAAGTCAAATTACTATCAAATTGGTGAGCATTAATGATTCCAAACTAGAAAATGGCTTCGTAGCTAATACACTAAAAGCCACATAACTCAATTATTGATTGTATGGGGTCCCTCCAGAATGAAAAAACATAATTTTTTGTGGTTCTGGTTCATACTCATTTTAGGAGGACAGAAGTAGCACTATGCTACAGCAGGAAAAAGACCTCCGGATACATCTTGAAGTGATGTTAAAGGAGAAAAATCAGAGAATGCAAGCACTCAAAACCTTAACCGAGCAGGATCAGGATCTCTGTGACCTCCTCTGCTTCCAGTCGTTTTCTGTCTCTGCTGATTCTGTTCCGTCCCTGGAACAGCTGGAGAAATTCTGTCAACACATCTCCTCTCTCACTGCTGAGAAAGTATGACAATACATCTTTGTTTTAATACTACACTCTTATAAACGTCTCAGTCATTTATTGAAGTACTGTGTTCTCATATTTACCGCAAACAATGCGCTGTTACTTTAATTCAGTGCTTGCAGCGCAGCAAAAATAGACTTGCAGCGGAAACAATCTCTGCATTGCTGCAGACGCACCTCTACTGGAACGCACAGCTGGACAGCAACCGTGTGCACGCTTTATTAATCTGTTAACATGAGCGTGGAAAAAAATTTGCACTGCAAACGGAGTAATGTGAACCTGGCATTATGTGTGTGCACTGCGAGTGGATAAGCACACGGTCTCCAGGAGAGCGCGCAAGCGCTGAATGGTTTAAACACTGGCAAGAATTAAAAAGAAATGCAATTTATAAACTTTAGTGATGATGCAACACTGCCTCGATTGTGCAAGTGACAATTCCTGTGTCAACTGTGCAGCGTGCAGCTCGCTTAAGGCTGATTTATACTTCTGCGTCGGACCTACGCCGTAGCCTTTACGCCGTAGGCTATGCGTAAGTTTTCATTTATACTTCTGCGTCAACGTGCAGTACAGATGCAAACCGCTAGTCAGCAGTGTCCACGGGCATGTTGCTGGTGTAACCCGCAGTAGTACCACGGCAAAAGCCGAAGAAGAAGCGGCTCGTCGGAAAAGCATTATAGCCGTGACGGCGGCAAACAGATATCAAATCATTAAATCATTATTTAAAACTACAAAAAGGAGACAACAATGTAACAGGAGATGATGGCATTCTTTCAATCTGCACAAGGACTTGTACCACGGCAGATCAACATTGTTTGTTGCGGACAACTACTGATGTATAATGCTATGTAGTATAATAAATGATAAGACACTTGTTCTTTGCATTGTTTTATTTTATATAAGAAGGTGTAACATTAAAATATATTAAAGGGGTCATATGATGCGATTTCAA